AAATTACCACTTATCAACTGCACTTTCTCCTCAGCGGAAAAAAAGGCCGCTTGTGGAAGATTTGTGGAACACTCCATAAGTTTTCCTCACTTTCTCACACAAATCTGATCGATGGTGACCCGATAGCCTCGCTTTGATGTTTACTCACAAGAATACCGCTGGATTGTTTGGGTGGCGTGCTCAACTCCGATAAGAGCTATTTGCAGCCACCCGTGGCTCCAAGAGGCTTGCGTACGAATTGAGTAGTCGTCTACGCCACCTTTACTATTTTTTGATACACGGGCAATATTTGGGTCAAAGCTTTGCCCAATCCCCTTCTGTACTCCAACTGTCTTCATGTCAGTAAAGGGTATAACGTGACTTTGAATTCGTTTAGGTCTTTATGACGACCTTGAAAAAATTTTGTGTACCACTAACTGGTACACAAAATTTTTCCTTGTGTACTGGCTCATTACTTACATTATCATTTTCTCGGGCGGCATAAAATGACACCAAAACTCTAACATTTGGGTCGACATTCTTTCACATCTTTCATCCGATGGATTCGGATACGGATACTTTCTGGTCTTTCTGGACACGATCTGACGCACTACCATGACCAGGCGGTCAACAAAAAATAACACTGAAGGTCAAAGTCCTTGTGCAGATGTTAACTATATTAACCTATGTCCATTGTGTTACGACTGTTAAGATCTACCACGAAGATCAAAGCCATCAAAGGTCAAGCAAAGGTCAGCATAGGACAGCAAAGGACGGAAAATAACAGAAAACAGTGTCACGGCTGCCACGGTTTATTGATCTTTGTTAAGACTCTATTTACTTTGAATGATTGGTATCCTTCTAGGTCGAAGAGCGTTCATTTATCTCGGAAATCTAATTTGTAAGTCTAGTAAATCTCGAGTCATGCGCTTGTAAAATAGCAAATCACGCATCACGTTACGATGTCCGGTCCCGCGTCACGCGGATAATTTGGGTTCAATCACTCGTCACCCTGCAAATTTTGGGGCCATCACGCGTAACGCAAAAACCCTTTGCCACCCTCTCAGAAGGGTCAAACACAAAACATTTACCAGAATGCAAATCAGTTTTGCAAAAACACTATTAATTTATCAAAACTAAAATGACTTTTCCAAAGCACAACTCAACTTACTAAAACACAAATCTAACCTGTTTGTGATAAACACAACAGAACGTCAAGAAGCCAGAGCGAGTGGCATCCGAGCTCGAGATAACTATAATTAAAAAATGCAAGTACCTTTGATTGGAGAAAACTCAACCTGGTTCTCAAGACTTTTCACCTCCGCCCCCCCCCCCCCCCTTCACCACTCCCTCTAACTTCATCCCAGAAATTGGAAGGATGGAGAAAGAGAAACACCGAGAAAGATCAAGAAACAGTACAATTTTGCACTTCTATGCCAAACAATGTCCCTGCTGATTCTTGAGAATCGTACATTTCATATTTCGTGGTCATTTCAGAGACCTCTATACAACGAGTAAGTCCAATAGATGACTAACAAAGCGAATTCCAAATATGGTATACAGTATGGATATGTAAATGGACAGAAGCAATAAACTCCTGAAATGGATTAATGAAGTAAGAGCGCTTATGATAAAAACAAAATAGGAAAGCGCACACTCCCAAGCGTTCCCCCGCTGCTCTACTGACACCTATTGGCTAGTAGCGGTTACGCTTGACCTTCTATCGTATTTCAGACCATAACAAGTTTAGGCATGCTCATTCGACTGAATACTTTTGCACTGGTCTGGAACATTCTCAAATGACTGAGGACGTATAACTTTGCCGCCTTTGAACCTGCATTGTGAAAACATTTCTGAGAGTGTTTGAAATTCAGGATTTTCAGCGGTTTTCAGGTCAGTAAACAAATGCCTAATAAGAACATGTATTTCCAAGATTATTGAGTGCAGTGAAGTATGCGTTAACTTTTGCCTAAAACCGACGTTCTCAGAACCTTGCGTCCTTTGATTTAGTGATGACTAACTTTGGCAATGCAGATGAATGTCACAAGACACGAAGGAGGTATTATGCAACACGAAATCTTATCGTACAAATTCGAGATGATATATTCAAACCAGACGGTCTCAGAGTGGTATCTGTTTTAATTCAGTGATGATTGTTTTTTGCAAAACAAAACCATGTCACAAACGATATAGGAAGCCTTATTAAGATTGAAAATTTAGCGCTCTAAGTAGGTTTACCGAAGGTTTGACTTCTCTGTTATAAGAAATGTTACCAGATCAAAATCATCGGAGTTTCTTCATCCATCGAAAGTAACTTTCTAAGTTGGCAAAACTTTACAATCATCGTCTTTACTCTGGTCTAGACTAAACTTGGTCACCCTAAATTGATGAAAAAACATTTCACGGTATGTCAGAAAAATTCATAGAATAATTAATCTAGCGCGGCATTTTGAACTGATCCTGACATTTCACTTTCTAATATAGTTAACGCAGCTTTTCTAATATGATTTTTGAATTTCAAAAACGTCCCCTAGGAAACTCCTCCAGGCAGATACAATAGTTCTATTTGAGTCTCTTTTAGCATTTATGAGGAAAATTATATATTCTACTTGATGGTCTATTTTTAAAAGTTGTATCGATTTCTTTCCTGTTTTAGTATTAATTAAGAATTACAAATAGAGACGTGGCTTATATGCAAATGATGATATTTACTGAAACGAGAACTTTTTTGCGTTAGATTTTATTTATGTTTTTCCCCGAGGCAAAAGATCAACTGTGAGAGTCAAATTTAACAAAAACAAACCCACTTTCTAAGAAAATGTGGGCGATTTTGTATCATGAACCCTTCGGACGAATGAAGCTTTTATCTCGCGCTCCTAGATTCTCTGTCGTCTCGCAAAGCAAAACGGGATGTGTTGTTTCGACTCAATCCGTCGTGAGCCTATATCTGCATCCGTTATATCATCTCACCTACGTCTGATGATAATTTTCAATGCGCTCTTGTAAGCAAATTTTATAACATGATGCGATAGAGCTTCATGTCAGCTTACCGTGTTTTAAGTCTAAAAATGGAGTATAAAGCAAAATTTTGGCCTGAAATCAAACCTTCAAGAGGTGACATTAAAGCTACCTATCTCTTATCTCAAGACAACCGTCGGTTTTAAGTGGCTCTTGACTTGAGGGGGCACTGTGATATTCGCTCGTATATCATCCTCGTCTCTATTTCGAGACTCTTCAAGCTCACCAAGCAAATTTTACCAAAATGGTTCAGTTAATCGAATTGAAACCCTAAAAATTCTAATCCAAAACGGTCTGCGTTAGTCCTTACCAATCTTTGAAAAACCGCTCCACATTCGATCACGTGACGCGTTGAATGGACCAGAAATTCCGCTTACACCGTATCAGCGAAATACAATCGGAGAGGCCGAAGAGTTTCCGATTTGTGATGGCCGAGGGAAAGGCCGGAATAGCTGAGGTCGAATGGCGCTATCTAACGGAAGCGTACTCAAGATATTGCACATCTAGAAGAGGGAACACTTGAATGCTAAATGAGGGTCATGTATCTGTTATCAGAAGTTATTAAACCATTCATTTTATGTCGTTCACACCCCATCGCCATTGCGGAAAACTACGAACTTCCCGGCAACGAGTCGTGAAATTTTGCATTCTTGCCGATCGGGCGGTGCGGGCGATGTCAACGCCAGAGTCATAGCTTTTATCTTTTTTCATCTCTAAAGCCAAAAAAACTGGAATTCAATTAGCTAGGAATCCTCTTCTGATTTAACTGTTGATGACAAATCAAGAGAATGTAACTGGCAGTTTATATTCTTTTGCGATAAATATAAGCCTTTGTTAAAAAAAAAAAAAAAAAAACAGATGTGTTTTCGTCCTGTTACACGCTTTGACCGAAAAAAATTCTGTGATCTCATGTGGAGTTGACTGTACCTCACGCCCTCGGATTTCGCGTTCTGATGCCCTACCACAAAACTCTATTGTGAGTTAAGCTATCACCAGGTTCATATCTGTTAACTGAGTTGATAATATAAATCGGCCACCGTAAAATGATTTTCTAAAGCTGACGTTACAAGTGTTAACGAATAATAGAATAATTAGGAGGTAGCCGATGAAAGAACGAAACATGTTTTGTTTCCTTTATAATTCCCTAACAGGAGAGCTTTGACAATGACTTTCTGTTCTCTATTTTTAACTAAGTATTACCACATACTTGGATGTCGGAAAGTTGTATCATATGAGACGGAAACCACCGATTTTCAAAACGAAAATCCGACTTTCCACGCACTGTTGAGTAAGTTTCAAAGACTTCTTTAGTTCGCGCCATTAAAAAATTCTTATGCGCTCAAACGTCAACCCTAATTACAGTTCAAAAACACCGAAAATCTGCTCTTTAAGTGATCAATTCCGTTAGATACGCACTATGGCTCATTCCGGTTCGTTAGCGGAGACTGTGAAAGGTTGTACGGTAATCTATTACGCCAACGTGAACAAACAACAATTAAGCGACACACACTAGCTGGCTGTTCAAACGATTTTTATGAGATAATAGTTTGATAAAAGCTGTTTTTTTTTTCAACTCGGTATTTTTTAAGCCTAGTCGTATATCTGGCAGAAACTGTTATCAGATATGTAACTGGCCAAATCTTATCGCAGTCGCGTTAGGAAGCATTTTCCAGTCTTCACCCAGTGCATGCAAACAATTTTTCCAATGCTATAAAGTCTTCCATCTAATTTCCCTCGTGAAATTCAAAGAACCACGCATCAATATTATACTGTCGTCTTAAAATAACTGGTTGGTCAAGTGGAAAGATCTCAATTCCAGAACAGATTACCTCCCTCTGTCATTAGCGGTCGACCAAAGACAAGTAGAAACCCCAGCTAGATATCAACTTGGCGGCGAAGGGTCCGATATCAGCTTTGATACCTATTCAGCCTAAGGTTTTATTTTACCACAAAGTCAATTAGTCTAAAAACGCAAAATTTCGTGATCTATCTCAAACGGATTGTTGTTTATTGAGGTCGTTTAGGTCTTTTGTCAACATTTCCAGCGCGTTCGTAATAGCCTACGTGACGTTCCGGGGGTTTCAGTCGTCGGTTTGGCAAATTGGTTCAGGAAATCACTCCCGCCTATGGGTTCCTTGTACGCGAACGCTACAGCTTTCTGGCACTGAAAAGATTTATCATTATAGTGTAATTTTCTAGAGGTGATCTAAACATTTGAGTCCACAAAACACTTAAAGAAAACGTCATTAAGGCAACGAAATGAAAGAAATTTGAGGTAAGTTCAACAGCTATAAATGAATAGTGAAGGTGTAACTTTTGTTTAAAGCTGAAAGGGGAAAATAATGTCGAATCGTTTTTAATTACACACTTGAGTTGAAGACATGCATTTTTTTGGATGGACTTTCTTGTAATGGGCTTACATTTAAAACATTTCGTTTGTTTTCAAGGCTTTTCTTGTAAATACAGCATAACGACTTGACAATTTTATTTCAACACTGAATATCACTGAAGAATACGATCCAAGTTGACAAAAAGGGAGTTTTAGGTAGTTATTCAGATCAGTTGGAAAACTTTATGTGGGTTCTGACATGAAAGTAGGAAACGGTTAATATGCGTGTAAAGAAAACATCATGCCATTAAAACACGACTACAAAAACTACAAACAAACAAAACGTGACCTCGATCAACTTTTTGTTTGCTCCACTTATGGCCTACCAATTCGAACGCACGAGAAATGTTAATGAGGGCTGATGCTATGAGTTATCGCAGGCCGGGGTTATATTAAACGTTATAGGTCCTGCATGCGAATTAAAAATACGTCGAAAAAATGCCGGCTAAAGGCCTACCTCACCAGGAAGTGTAGACTGCTAGATCTAAACAGGAGTGCGTATAAATAATCTGTTTTTTTTTTCATATAATATTTGACAGGACTGTAAAAAAATTGAAGTTCAGAAATGTTGATGGTAGGCGGTGTTCAGCACTGACATGACCCCTTCCGGTTGACCTCGAGTAAACAAGCTACTTTAGGATCAACACCCTGGTGTTGTTTCTCTTGAAAAGGCTTAAGCTGTTTTAAGACAAAGAAACAAAGAAGACGTTTGTAGTTAACGTTAAGCAAATGTGGAAAGTTTTAAATCCCTCTCACCAAAATCAAACTAGCCCTAGCTTAAATCATGCAATTTAGCAAGAGAAAGACGACTACATCATGGGTTTTCTAAGCGTATTTTATCGTGAGAAACGTGTATTTTTTTTACATTTTTTGCCTTCAACCTTAGACGCCGAGGGCGAAATATGCATTAATTGCCAAAGTTTGTTCTCTGTTCGACGTCGATAAGTATTGTTGAAAGATCACCTTCTCATAATCATGTCATCAGTTAATTGCGGATGCAACGTGTAGCTGTTCTGGAAAAAGTTTCCTAAATAGTCATCCTTTACAGCTCACACAAGTTATGCAAGAAACTTGGTCGATGTCAACGATGCAGAGTAATCTAAGACACAGAGATGAGTATCAACTCGTACCTCGAATTACAACTTATAGAGTTCTCACTGCTTCAGCTGAAAATCCCAATAACGACTTATCATAACTATATTTCTAAACAAACATTGGTGCTTCCGTCCTCCTCCGGCAAAAATGTTGCGTCCAAGCCATCGGATGCCTGATCCTGAATCGCTCATTTTGGAACGATTTTAAAGTATTGTTTTTTTCAGACTGTTTTCTGCCAGGGCATGTACGTCGATCTGCTGCTTTCATTGACTCCATTCGGCGATACATAAATACCTGAAATATCTTTTTGCAGATTATTGACACAATCTCAAAAAACCCAGATCATATATAAAGTTATCTTTCAGCGCCATGTCTAGCCTTACAAGGGAATCAAACGATTCTTCCGCTTTCAATTACGATGAAATTTTTTCCAGCAGGACATGGCGCTATTTTATCGTGAAATGTCCAACGGTATTTTATCATGTAATGACAGGCTTTCTTTGCTCTGTCCGACTTCGTGTCTCGTGGATTTTTTCCCATGAAGTAACATGAAAAGAGGTCACTTTTAAGCCGCTTTCACTTGAAAATCACCATCAAAAATCTTAAGTCTGCCGATTAACTCTCAGTTGGTCAGAGGGTCTCCAGAGTTTCTCATCAGAGTTTCACCTCCTTTCCTTGTATGTGTGAAAGCCGGTATTGTCAAAATAAAAAAACAAGAAAGAGAGAAAAACATACTTTTTACTGACGTGATCTGGAGCAGTTGAAACCGGCTGAAGGTAGGAACTCTGGAATTTTTCTTCCCTAATTTTTAAGATTAAATATGGTCAAACCGCACCTTCATGCGTAAAAACTGCCTCTTGCTACAAAAAAAAAAAAAGACCGAGCAAAATTGGACTCTTTTGGTCTTTGTGTTTGCTTTTTTGCGTTGAAAGTCTTAACTCCTGCGGTGGTTAGCCTTGTACGAGCGGAAATAAGCTCTTGGGACTAACTTCGTGCAGCTAAAATCCTCTGCTGGCAACTGCACTAAGAGGGTTCAACCATCCTAAACAACTTCTATCTTAAGTGGTTAAGATAAGTTCTCTTTGTATTCATATCAAAATTTTCACGGAAGGTTAATCACCTCCTCCATGGTTCTCAGACAATAATTGTTGATGCATTCTCTCGATGCGCAAGAAGAACAAGGCGTCTTTCATGAGTACTAATTTACGTCGATGTCCTCTATACTTTTCTTCTGGCAACGCACACAGCACATTTTAATTGGATCATTTGCGGCCACCAGCAGTCGCCAAACGCAAGGTCACCGCTGACGCTTTATCATCAAGGTCACCATCAACTACCTTGAATTTTATATCTGACATGTGTCCAAATACAAATGGACAAAGAAATAATTTCGAGTCCTCCTTAACAAATAACGATCTTTCGTGCAATCACCACTAAGCCAACAACAAACTGTGATCTTAAGTCGAGATTAAGTTGAACAGATCAACAGAATTACTGACAATAACGCGTGTGCTTTCCACAAAAACCTTAAAACACTTGCGTTACAGCGACGAAAGATTGAGTTTATTTTTTGACGTCATCAGACGTCAACATTTTTCATTTGTGTACCGTGTTGTATTCTTTTGTCCGCTCAATCACACGACACAGGAAAAACAAACAAGCGTCTTGATTTGCATTCTGGTAATAGCTTAATTCAACTCTCCATCTGATAATACGTATAATAGAGCATGTGAGTTGCGGGAAGCGGGCTAATATTCAGACAGCTGTTACTCATACTCCGCTTTCTCGAACAGGGGTCAACATCGAAGGACATCAATATGGCCACACTTGAGCAACTAAACCACCAAGAATCCCTTCTCAAGCAAAAAGTAAGTGCAATTCCTTTGTGTTAGCAGTAGTCAATCGTTCGTGTGGCTGAGAATATTTATATGTACTGATATCGATGGCTACAGGCGATCAACAAGACCTGATATATAAACTTCCAAATTTCTTGTTTAGAACAGGGCATCGTTAGAACCGCGTGAGTTGCAACGAAATTTGGCAGAATATTTCCACGAAACCATGTGCTGACTTATATTGAAGGAAATTTAAGTCGAGCTACTTTGTCGAGGGTTTATACTTGACTGCACATTACTGAGTTGGAGGCCTTAGCCGCAATTAGGGTAAAAAGCATACCATTGTATCAAAATATGTTATGTGCATAAATACCATATTTCATTGGGAACGTAGCTCTCAGCAATGTTAGTCTGTATTTTGCGTTATTGTCCAGTGAGGCTTTATAACACCGTCTTCCGATAACCACTATCTATTAAGGTTACTCTAAACAAAACGGACACGAAATAAACTTTAAAGCGCCGCACTACAAGCGGTACTCGCATCGCTGGATTGCCATGACTGCCACCATTCCGTTAGATCGTGTTTCATCGTTCTGTGAACTTCTGTTTTCTCCGGTGAAGAATACTGAGACCCTGGTGACAAAACATGATAATGGTTCAGAGCAAATGCTGACCCACGCTGCGAAGCAGTTATTTAGATTAACATACGACCTACATTGCATGTGATATAAAATGAATTATCTTTTACTACCAGTTTCGTATGGATCGAGTGTCGTTACACTGCAGTGCGAGTTATTTGAATTGATGTTATCGTTTAGTTTTGCTAGTATTTCTTTTAATCAAAGGAATCAAGGTTTATCGCTTAATTAGGCTCATCTCAATGTAATTGTGCAAATGTTGATTGTTCATTTTAAATTTCACAGTTTTTTCTTCACCCCAAAGTTTCCATGTCTTCTTTGCATTACAGTGCAATCCGATTAAATATTAGAGTCGACGCCTCGGTAGAATTCTCTAATCCAAATTGACCTTGGTGTGGTACTTTCAGACGGTTACCGGTCTACGCGGCTTCGGTGAAAAATTCCATCGCAAGAGGTTGAACTCATTGTATGGTTAAGTGTCACTTAGGAATCGAATATTAAACCGCGTCAATTTGCATTATAAATTACCACGCGTATTGTGTGCGCTTTGTATTGAAAATGTCTCAAACAAGAAATGTTTTCAGTCTAATTGGCGCATCTATCATTTGGTGAATTTTGCATCAGATAACGTTTAATAATTTGAAGAACTCGCTTCTATGCCCTCTGGAACACTCGTTATGCAATCTTGATCTTTGTCTTGAGGAAAAAAGCGCCTTTGTCGAGAAATCATTTAGGATTTTATTGAAATGCGCTCATTTTGCGCAACACGCAATGACGGATAAATGAACTATTTTTGAAAATGCGAGCTAATCAAAGGAAGAATAAATAACAATGCTTGAAATTTTTGTCAAGTGCCTACATCAGGAATCTTTAGAGAATAAAATGCTGCAGGGTATATATAACAGCATGTTGGATTTGGATTAAAAAAAACTAAATTGAAAACCTCGAAAAGATTTCGCAGCCTTGAAAAACAGACGACTGCCTTTCTTACATACAGTTTATTTACTTTTAGCAGAATAATGTTTACTTCTTGCTGGGTCCTCGTTAGGAAGTGTAAAAAAAATATATATGGGTGTGTAATAACTACTTGTTTTGACCGCTGTGAATGATGTAAAACCTAAGTGTGTTTGGAACTGCTGTGGTCAGGCTTGACTGCTGGGGTTGAATAAAAGAGTGCCATAGACCCCCGCAGTTGCTTCAAAATCACATACCGCATTATACTTCAATATACTCGCTAAAGAAACGATTTACTGGAGTGTGACGAAGTTGCGTCTGCGAAAACTCTCTTAAACACTAAACAACATTAAAGATAATCACGGAATCCGATTGACCAATATATTCCTAATTATTTTTCACTGAAACGTGTTTATTTTGCATCTTTGTGCCATTGCATTTATTACATGGTTCAAGTCTTATTTAAGATATATCTAATTAATATAATTTGAGATATTACTTATAAAGCATTATAATTCGTTTATTTCCCAATAATCCGTGATATGGTATATTATTTCGTATAATCTCTCTTCAAAGCTCGTCTCTGACTAATCCTTCCTTTTCTTGACCATTAAAGGCAATAAAATATTTTTGAGACACACTGATTTCACATTAATAGAAATATTTTTTTACCGTCGTTACCTCTGAAGCTAACCTTTGTAGATCATCACGAAACTCCTGCGAAACCATTGCAATACTGCACCAAATTGGAATCGCCAAGGACACTTTTTGCCCGAGAAACCTCTCAACTCTCTTTTAAAAGTTTGCAAAAACTCTTCGATTGACGTCGGTGAAAAATATATTTTTATACAAATTTAATGAACAGGTCGTCACTTAAATTCTTGGGAATATTCTGTAACTGATCTCATTGTAAAGTCAACTTCTAGAACCATCGGAGAATTGGTGCAACTAAAACTATTGGTTATCAAGCGAAAGAATAGGCTGGCAAACGGTAATATGAATGATAACTATATTTTGATAAAGATTAGCACAAGTCAGTCTGGTTGTAATAAGGTACTTCGAGCATTATTCTGAACTGATCTTGATCGTATCGCACATGTGGGGCCCTTCTCACGTGGAATTCTATGTAATAGTCACTGTCGACTGTAATAGGTAATCATGTCAAAGAAATTTGCTGTCAGCACCAAGAGAGCGAAACGTGTTCGTAGCATTGCTCCGCAACTTCTCTCTTAAGAGAGCATTTTTACCGTAGTTAGTGAAATTTGGAAAGGTTTCGAACTCTTGAAGATTTTGTCCGGTAGAGTTTAGATCAATAAATTGGTGCTACTATGATGAAAACATAACAGCTCGGAGAGGTTGTTGGTTTCGAGAAAAAATGGCGCTGTGGCTAAATGCGAGTTGACATGTAAATGTTTATTTATAAATTCTCGATATCTGGGTAAGACAATTTTCCGAGAGTGATCAACTCAATGATCAACATTGCTTCGTTTCATCAGAAATGTTGTGTGCTATTTTCATTTCGGTGCTAAACTTAGTACTTAATACATGTCAGAGCGTCAGTTCACCAATTTACCACGGGACATTACTGGAATTCAAGCAATTAGGAGTATTTTGGAAATTATAACGGAAACATTTTAACTATTTTTGGTGATTAACATCACGCTTAACTGGAAAGAAGTAATCTGTCTTTCCGAGAGAAGAAAAATCAGTTCTGGCAGAACAGGTTCTGATAAACCACGCTGGAACAACACTTCTTAAGGACTGGGAATATCATCAAATGTTGTAAAATAACGGGTTTGGGAAGTTTCGAGAGGAAGTTTTGATTCAAAGAGGTTGTTAGGTAGCTCCTGGGGTGTATTAAAACTGACAGTTTAGCAGACCTCCGTTGTAGCTTTCAAAACGCGCAGGTGAATTACGTTTTGTGGCCAAAAATGTTTAAATTTCTCCTCTCACGTCTAACTCTATGCTGTTACAACAATCTGGAAATTTTCACCTTGAATCCTAAGGTATGAAGAACGCGCCAGGAACGATACATAAATATTAGCTTCGAGTAGGGTCCTTAAATCCTTTAACCCCTAAGAGTGACTGGCATCCAATTTCTCCTCGCAATATCGTCTCTGAATCAAGCAGTAAGGCCACGAGAATAAAGGAAATTATCACTAACTAAAGAACCTCTTGATTGTTAAACAAATTCTCCTTGTCAATACCATAAGAAATGTCTAGAAAAAAGTATAGAGAATATGCCTACTGGTGTTGGGGTGTAAAGGACTAACCTTTAACTCCCACGATTTCGTCCCATGATTGTCAATTCTCCTCATTAGCTGCTACATATTTCCTTGTGACGTAGTTACGAGAACTTTGTTTTAGATCAAGGTAACAACTTCTACCTGATCAAACGGAGTATCCGTATCACCTGTTTGCTGAATAATTAACATTTATTCCATAAGCGCGAGTTGGATTTGAGATAAATGGCCAACAAGGCGTGTAGCGCCGAGTTATCTCTAACCAATTTCGTATTCATTAAGTGTGAATGGAATAATTGATTCACTAAATTTCATGAAATCCTGGACGTATCGATATTTGGAGCTTTTTTCTGCTCCAAAACAGTTGGCGCAATGCGTTTCCATGTAAGGTGACTTGGAAAATGAGCTGATAACCGGAGTCGAGTGAACCAATCAGAACACTAGAAATGCAATATTTGGATTATGAATATTTTAGGGAGAAGTCGAGGAGTATGTGCAAACACTTTAATTGTAAATGCGCAGCTCAGTTACCTCCAGAAATACGTGATTCTTACAGAGTGTGGTAGGTTTACCGAAATTTTTTTTTATTTTATATGGCCACGAAAGGCCAAATAATTTTCCACAAGAAAGTGCTGATTAACACATCAATCCATTGTTTTTTTTTGCAGCTTGAAGGAACAAAAAATATCACAGAACGAAGGAAACTCCGAGCGGAATTGCGATCTGTGAGGGACCAGAAAGAACAATTGACAGATGTTAATGCCAACGACACGAGAACAACTACCATGTCGTCAAAATTTACTATGTCCGTGAATAGCACAGAAAAAAGGAAGTACGAAGAAAGAACCATACGCGTTAACAGAGAAGAAAGTCCTGCCAGGAAAGAAAACGTTGCCCCACAACAGCCCAGAAGTGCACGAAGCACGTTTAGTTTCAAAATGACAGATAAAGACGAAGACAAAAGCGAAAGCCGCCAGACGGAAAGTAGCTCATGGAGACGTCAGACCAATCATGTGAAATCCAGCGTTGACGAGAAACGACCGCGGAAAGACCAAGATCTCAACAACAACACTGATGTGAAAAAGGCCGATAAAGAAACAGAAGTTCCGAAAAGAGTCTCGCGGAGGTCATCTTTGGCAGAATTGTTCAAAATTGAACATGAAGGGAAAAACAGAGAGCCAAAACCTACAAATCCTACCCCACCCCCACAAGCGACAGTATCCTCGTCACCAATGCTCAAGCGTATGCCTATGGAAACTCATCAGGATACGAAGACCAAGCAAGACTTGTTACAGAATCTAGGGCGGCTTCGTGGCCGGCGAAGGTCTGTTCGTGAGATCGAGAGGAAGGAGGAATTGGAAGGGTTGATGTACGTAAAGAGTGGCGACACAGTTAAACTAGTGAACACCTCACAAGGCGATGAGCAGGTTAAAGAACAGAGAAAGGTTCGGCGCTCCTCGCGGAAAGAGAGCCATGAAAAGCTGAAGGTCGATGGAAACACTATCAGCAACCGCAACGAAACGGAATTATCGGCTATCCAGGAGAGCCCGCGATCTCCAAACGCAAAGAAACGATTTGGATTTGGCGATGAAGACAACGCAGCTCCAAAGAGGCTGGAAACTCCCCTTCAGAAAGAGGAAGCTCCCAAGGCCAGAATCTGGCAACCCCCTCCACGCGCCAATACAAATGCGGAATCCAACCGCCCTGGAAGGCAGTGGTCTGATCCAGGCTCTCAGCGGGTTGGGCCTCCCAGGCCTAATTCATTCTTACCACCTAAAGCTAATGTAAGTTGCTATGTTTTGGATCTTTTCGAGACGGTTTTTTTTCGCCCTCTTAATGTATGAATACGGACAAACACTAGCCTCTTGTAAGTTAAACTTTACCGTCCACTTGGAGATTTACAAACTAAATTTTGTTCTAGATTAGATTCCATCATCCTGCTCTAAAGTTTTGAAGTATTCCTGGACAATAGTGCACTGTCAAACTTTAGTAATGTAAGACTTCAGCCGAGAAGACTTCTTATTACAGTATTTTAAGTTGTTTTTTCCCAAGTGTGCGAACAGGCCAACACAATAAGCGCGTGGCAAGAGTGTTTCTCCGCCCGCGAGAAAATACGAGGCCTTGAGAACGCGTGACAGCGAAAGATTTCAAGAGGTCTAGTACTAATAATGAGGGACTATTAGTGCCAAACCCCTGGACTCGTCTCAAGTCTTTCCCGCGGGCATAGAAACGCACGGTCTGAAGCGCTTATAATAAGGGCCTGATCGCAATTTTGCTGAGTTAAAAAGCAAACGTTGAAATCAGTGATAACAATAGCAGTAGTAATAGTGTTGTTGTTGATGATGATGAAAGCCGATACCTGCGGGCTTACTATAGATTCTCAGGCAAATAAGGCTAAAATCGTTATTCAGGGTGTTTCCAAAACGGTGCTGTGTTGCTTTGGTGACATATTGCATCGAGGAATAGAACTTATATTGTACAACGATCACTGAGAACTGGCGTCATGGAGTTCATTTTAGGAGCAAATGCTGAAAAGGTCTGATCAGATTCTTCGAACAATGGGAACCGAAACAAAAGGAAATCGCTTTTAATAATCTGAAAAAAATTAAAGTTACCATGTATATTGAAAAAAGAATAAAAACTGGGCCAAAGAGATGTTCACCTTATGTGTTTTTGTTGTTTTTTTTTAACGTCGATTTTTTTTGTTCACGCAGGAGCCTCCTAAGTTTGGACGGCCAGGAGGAGGAGGAGGTGGCGGAATGGGCTCGGTGAAAGATCGTATGGCCTTCTTTAGAAAAGCTGCCGAGGACGAGAAAAAAGCAAAGGAGAAACAGTTCGTAGCTAAATCCCCAACAGCGCCTGTCAACAGGTTTACTGCCCCTTCACCCACCAGTCCTTCAGCCCCGTCACAAACAACGACGACGCCTGCCACCACTCCAACAAGCCTAACAGAAAAAGTCTCCCTTAAGAAGGCTCCGGATCCGAACAAGGCGTACGTAGGAACGTTTGATTACTTTACAATTGAGGAAGGGGATGGGAACGTTTGAAACCTTTACCACTCACAGTGCTACTGATTTAAAGTACATTAATACATTTCAGACGGCCTAAAAGTCGAGCTTTGACAAACGCAATTCGGTGATTTTGTAGTGATACTGAGATCTTCTCTTAACTTAGGGCCTAGGTTTGGATGTTTATTGCGCTCCATTAGTGGGTCGTTTTCGAGTATGCATCGTCGTCGTTCTACTTCCGTATTTACATTTCAGAACATTTTCGCGGTTTGGTCACAACGTCTGCCAAATTAAATCTGTGTCCAACTGCAGTGCTTGCATAACCTAACGTACATAATTGGTGGTAGTGAATAAGTCGAAATTTTACTCTGGACGTGTATTTTTGGCGCTTTTTTTAACGGCTATTTCAATTGGAAAACCAACAAATTTAAGGTTTTGCATTTCGAAACCTGTTTTACCCTTATACCATTCCTTGTAGTGCTTGAGGATATGAAATATTCATGTGAGTGTTTTTTTTGTGTGTGTGTTCTCTGCCAGTCCACGAGAGTTAAAAAAGAAACCTCAGCTCAAAAGACAGATGTCAGTATCTTCGTTGATTTTGACGTGGTGTAAAGATGTCACGCAAGAATACGAGGTAAGAAGAGGCCGTAGTGCGCTTCAATAGTGTCACTCAAGATACATTGAAGGGGAAAGAAAGGCTTTTTGTAACCGGAAAAGTACCACTACAAAATATTTCAATGTGCATCTCCATTTGAAATCTTGAAGGAGGAGCTAGTCAAACAATCAGACCAGCATCTGTATGTGAACCACCCAGTGTTGTTTACGTCATTAACATGTGCGGCCAGGTTATTGAGTTATTTTCAAAATAGCGACGTCCATAAAATAATTTTGCGCATATTTGAAGATAGTTTTTGATCTGATTTTGAACTCTACGGGACATCCGAAGCGGTAAGTTTAAACAAAATAAAACATATGGTGTTTGAAGCGCGCTCAGCTTTCTTTTAAAAGAACAATGAGAAAGTATTCAATGGTGCATTCAAGTCCCAGGTTCTCGCATTTTAGGAAATTTTCAAATTCATAACTTTCAATCCGTTCTAATCTTCTCCATCTTAAGCTATCTGTGTTCCTTCTGGTTTATTACCGCCTCGATTGCGTTTTCTCTATCTCACCGAACTAACATTGTGAAATCTTCAATAACAAGTAATTTTTGTTGGTTGTTTTCCAGGGAGTAAACATTACAAACTTCAGCGGAGCTTTTAGTAATGGTTTAGCGTTTTGTGCTTTGATCCATAAATTTAACCCGGACAAGTTTGACTACAACTCGCTATCCGCTGAAAATAGAGAATACAACTTTAAGCTGGCTTTCGAAACTGGAACGTAAGTTTTAACCTGTTATTCCGTAACATCAGTAAGCATATTCTCCATACTGTTCACTATATATTTCCTGAGGTGCTACACGGAGAATTTGTTCAACAGTCAAAAGCATCTTTAGAAACTGAAAAGTTCAAGAAAATATTTTAGTGCGAAAGAGGGTTAGCACAAATATTTTATCAAAGAAGTCATCGTGCATAAGAAATGATGTGTGTTTTCGTTCAAGAATGAAAAAAAAAATCGCGCTCACTTTTCTTTGTTCCCCCTGAAATTGTCTTAAAAAAGCCTTTTCTGTCGCTAGAATAGATCACTCACCGTGGAACGCACCAATGTTATGACTTCAGGTCGTGCAGCATATGAAAATACTTAAGACATAACATTATTAACTTGGTTACTTTTTGTCAGTGAACAATTTCGGATCATTAACTTTATTTTTGTCATCTGTCTTGTGTAGTCTTGTCATTTTATTCGCCAAATTCGGGAAAGGGTGCCATAGTCTTTTATCCAGGCTTCCCACGGTCAAACGGCTTAAGACCTCACGCATTAGCAAGATTCAAAGTGTTTTATAAGCAGCCAATCAGACAGCCGAAAACGCCTAAATGGCGGTGGCCTGCGATCATTATTAGCGCTGTAGGACGCTGGTTTCGCCGCCCGTAGGAAGATTGGAGACAAGTCGGGGAGAGGTTTGCCGAAAGTCTGGCATTAATATCGAGGGCCTACAAGGACGCTATTGTTCTTTTCATTATACGCAATGCTAGCTCTCTTGTAAACCTTTCGCCGGTTCGCGTGTCTCAAGGTCGCACAATTTTCCGCGAGCGAAGAAACGCCCTTGCTGAAGCGCTAATAATGAGGAGCTGCTCGCGAGCTATAATCGTGGCTGATTATTTAGTAATCAATTGTTTTTTTGTGTGTGTTTCTTTTCTCAGTTCTGTTGGGATACCTGCTCTCCTCGACGTCGAAGATATGGTTCGTCTCAAAAAACCGGAACCGCGCAGTGTCCAGTGTTACGTTCAAATGATATTTAGTAAATATCGACCAAAAGACATGGACATGTCTAATCTTATTATAGCTTGAATATCATTGTTAGAAATCAGTTCAATTGAATTTTGTAAAGCAGTAGGAAGTTATGTGTTATGGAGGTGCGAAAGTTTTTTTTTTTTGTCAACATATCTCGTTCAGTGGACGTTTAGGCTTAATTGTGAATTTCAATCTGCTTTGTAGGAATTTTCTACTGATTTTCTTCTACTAATTTAATTATTTTGGCGTTCGCATTGCACTGGCTATCACTACATTTAAAGCTCGAAAGAAAAACACTCTTTTTACCGCCAATCAAACATGATAGCAGTGTAGACTACTGCTGTTTAAGTAATCTTACAAGTCTTGTACAACTGAACGGTATAAAGGCTCAAATTGAATGATCCGAATTGAACCCAGTTTCTTTACAACTCTTTTGAGCCCCTGAAACTTTGGGGTCTGGGGAAAAAAACAAATTAAGCAACAGAGACATTTATCTGGGTCGAATTTTGGGAAAATATCTATATCATACGAGATAATATTCATTCATTATTAAGATACATGAAGTTTGAAGCTGCCGGGTGCAAATAAGACATCATGTATTTATAGAGTGTACAAGAAACGCCTGTTTGTTTGGCATTTCAAATAATTTGAAAAAATTGATACAGTAGGTTTAGGTAGAGTTATTTTTTCTACAATTGTGCGATTGCGATTTTGTCAAGTAAAGAATTTTATTCAAAAGAATTGACTTTTACCTAAAAGTTGTCATTGTTTTATTGTTAGTTTTTTTTATTTTATCTGGGAGTCAATTGTTTTCCGTGTGGGTCAGAATAAGTTGACAAGTGATGGCCAGCTTTCCACGCTTCAAAACAGTGAATCTTATTCACAAAGCCTTCGAGAAGGCTATCACTGGAGCTTCAACGCGAGTGGCGAAGCGTGCGCGTTCTGAGCCGGCACACAATGTGTACGCGCAAGGGGTCCGCGAGGGTGCTGACACTTACATTTCATGTCGCATTTTCGGTACCAAAACCTTAGAACACATCGGTCATACGAAGGGCATGCGCAAGGGATCAATTTTGGCCAGCCGCACCCAAATTTTCCGTACATAAATTTCAGAGGAAAAGATAACAAACACAACCGCTGTCACGTCAAATACTCGAAAGGAAAGCTCGAGACTTCGTACACAAATCCTATTTACCAACGGTTATCCTGCTAATTAATTTATCATTGTGTTTTGAGCTGTAACGAAAACGTTATACGGTTTAAAAACACTGTGACTTCCTCGCTTGTGTGCGGGTTTGTTTATATGACGACTTGTTAGTGACTTATAAAAATCCTTGAAAGCACGCCACCTAGCCATACATAGCCTCACCGAGCCTAGCACAGTGGCAAAATTAGTGCGCATGCTCGACGGATTTGGCGCGTTCGAGGAGCGTTTAGTGATTCTAGCGTGAATAAATTTTGTTGAGGAACGAACAGAACATCGTTATATAATTTTTGGCATTGTATACTGATGTGAACCAAGTGGAAAAAATATAACGCAGTTTGTTCTTATAGAAAGGACTGAAGAGAAATTAGCGTTCATTTAATTATAGTTCATTAGACAGTTATTTTGAATTCATCCCGACAGCTAAAACGAGAGCAGTCGCTACGAACTTTGTAACAATGTTACGGATGCTTTACTTCAATCCCAAATTCACATATGTTACCGCAACATTTTTTTTCTTTGAGTGAGATATGTGACCGAGGAGGTTCGACAAGTCCGCCATTTTGCTGCGGCAGTGTTCATAGAAATATTGTCGTAGTCATTTCTATGGGCACATAAAATTTCTCGATTATTACAAGCATGCACACTAGTTTTGCCGCTGTGAGCCTCTACAACGTTCGCTCATGCGCAGATGTTTGACCGCCGTGTTGACCCTTGGAGACCTCTCGAATCTTGCGGGCTTCTCGCTGCCCGCGCGCTAAGTTTAACACAGCGCCGTAAGTAACAGCGTTTATAAGGGAAAGCAAAGAAAAGAATGATACACGATCCACTTGAATACATCTGTCAACTATGGGCAACGCATATGTACACTCCCTTTTGAAAAGATCATTTGTTGTTAAACTTTTGGATTCCTCTTATATTACTGACTATTGAAATGCACTCACAAATCGACACTAACTCGTTACTTTATAAACTTTATGTGTAATTATCGTAACTTTGGAGGAGCCGCTAAATTGAGTGGGTGGGGGTGAGGGACAGTCATCGTCAGGAAACCAAGGCATGGATTGTAAACAGGTCCTCCGGTAAGGAGAGTGAAGGAATGGATAGTAACGAACAGTACTTCCGTTAGATTAAAATTCAATCATATAATTGTTTTCGTTGATTCTGGAGGGCCGTGTACTTTCGAGGAAAAGAAGTAGAGGGAAAAAGAAAAAAAGTAGAGTCACACTGAGGCTTTGTTCTAAAATATATTCACCCAAACCATGTTTGTACTTTTTTAAATTCAGGAAATAAAAAAAGTAATAAACCAATTGAAACATAGTAGACACAATACGCGCATAACCTGAATCGGTGTTCTTAAAAGTCTTGAGGCATCCACAGTTCTCAAACAAACGTGTTATACTCCAAGACGCTAGTAGTGTATTGCACTCGATCTGCGTGCTTTAGATTTAAGTTTTTTCATGGTTATTTTTAAAGTATTATATACAACTCCAGAAAGTCTATTCGCACTATTCACAGATAAAATGTCGATTATTTATGCTACGGCCTTCGCAGGCGGCTTCAGATTAAAACCACCACCAGTGAACCTTGGTCCATCCGTTCTTTGTGGAGAGAAAGCGGGTCCAGTGGCCTGTTGGTAAGCTCTGTCTCTTTCCCTGAAATGACAACATGACACAGTTTTAGAATGAATTCAAGGCACGAGTGAGAAAGCCTGCAAATAGGGCCCCGAAGCGTTACGACATCAGCAGTGAAGCCTTCGAGATTTGAGCCAGCGAGCGAGGCGTGCGTGCGTGCGAGACGTATGGTAGAGGTTTCTAAACCCTCGCAGATCTCGCACTCGCATCGCTTGCGATGCAAGCCAGAGGGATTCACATCTTGGAAATTGTAAGCTGAATAGGTCATTACATAATTTGTCACTTTTTCATTTTACTCTAACTCTCCTTTACAGCGATTTTCCACCCTTGCATGCTATTGTTTGACGGGTTTCTTCCAATTAAACACTCAAATTGTCGAGACGTAAGAGCAGCAGTGCGGAACAAAAAGGGAACAGTAAGGGAGAGGTAGCTAAAGTACAGGAGCTTCTCAACAGCTCTGTGAAAACTCGCGCTATCTTCTTTAACAATGAGATACAAAACCAAAACCAATCGCCTAGTTGTTCACGTTTTCCTGCGCTTCAGACTGTTTGTTTGTTTGCTTTTTTGGCCATGATTTCTCACTAGCTCCTTGTGATTACTGCTGTTACTCTAATGGGCCATTGAGCTTTCCCAGATCTTCGTTTACGAGACTCAATAGGCCACTTCCTAGTTCTCGCGTTTCAGTGATCTGGTACCGAAATTACGGCTTGAGGACGAGGCTAAGTGCGAAGTCGCTCTCATCGGCATAAAGAATAAAGTGCCGTGGTAGCGAAAATGAGCAAAAGTCTCTCGAAATTCAATATGGAAGAGTGAAAAACTATTTGTTAGAGCGGCATTCAGTGAAGTGATGGCGGCAAAGGAAAAAAAAACACAACTATTTGATCTATGCAAAAAAGCTGCTGCAATTAAGCAGATCAAAATTGCCTCTTCTACCAAAGACCGCAAAAAACTGTTGGAGGAATAATTTTAAAAATAATTAATGGGTGGACTACCACTTTTCTAACACTCCAGAGCTCTCGTTCGGCGTCAACATGCAGCCTTGTTTGTTCGCCCAGTTGTTTTGATGGAATCTTAGAAAAGTGGTTCGTCCAAGCATTAAAAATGTTTTTTAGCTGGAATTTTCTCTCACTTTTTTTTGAAAATTTCTCCTCTAACAGTTTTTTTGCGGTCTTTTGAAACACACTGTAACAGTCAAATAACAAATGCTATTACCTCGCTTGTTGTTCTTTTCTCTTCTGCATGTAAAACTTTTTCTTGACTTCCTGTAGTTCTTTAGCTAGTCTTTCGATCTCGTATTTATATTCTTTCACTTGTGCCTCGTACATGTTCAGTTCAGATGACATTCCTTTCATCTGCTTTGTTTTTTCTTTGAGTGTTTGTTGGTAAATACTGAGTTGTTCAGCCACTTCTGGCCCGGGCTGACGAGCCAGGATTTGTTTTAGTTCCATGTACAACTTCTCTTTTTCTTGGATAAGGAGTTCTTTTTCCACCACCTGAGAAGATTTGGCAAGTATTTTAGCATCATATAAAATCTTAGGTAATAAGTCCAGGGGTGAAATATCTAGCTGTAGGGCTTTCGTTTCGGAGAGGTGCAAAAGCCAATGAACTCCTAAGAAATAGCTGTTTGTTTTCAGAAGGGTCGAGAGAGGAAGCCAAATCCGCGGCTTTTTTGTTTGTTGTTGTCTCAAACTTCAGAGCAAATTTTATTTGGCTTTCAAACACAACTCAGTAGAACACTTATTTGCTTCAGTTCACTATGTCGTTGGTCGAGTATAAAAGATGTGCCAGTCTCCAAATCAACCAGATGCAAAATTAAAACCAATTACACTTTTCAGCGTTTCAGACAGTTAACATGTTTTAACTCTGGTTAACTGGTTCTCTGCGATACTTCTCTTTGTTCTTACTGGGCGAGATGTTCACTTTCGTTGTACTTGTATAACACTCTACCAAAAAGCACTTTATCACGTCGTAGAGAGCGCCATTAAACATCAGTATGTATCAGGATGCACGCGCAACAGAATAACATTACACTGACTAACCTCTTCAGTTTTCTGTATAAGTCGTCTTTGTAGAGTTTGTATCTTTTGAATCATTTCGTACGTGCTCGGATCACTTCCCTGTGGAAATAAAAGGTAATTGTTCAATGATCTTGCTTTCAAATGTAACTAACGTCAATTGAATATCGAAAGTAATCGAGGATCTGCATTGGTTTTGCTTTACTTCGCTCTGTGATTGGTTCAGAAAACTGCGACACTCTCTCAATCAATCACGGCTTGGTCGCCCGCGCTTTCCCGCGCTTTGGACAGTGTGGTTGTTTTCACTCAGAGTTCTCATTGGCTCTTAAAAGATATTTTCCGTTCTTCTGATTGGCGGTTGTAATTACTTTGGTTTCGGTTTTTCAACATTCAGTCGAAAAGTGCTCTAAATTACCTCAAGTTTTCTCCATCTGTGAATGTTCATCGGGTTTTCGAGTTCTTCTTCCAAAGCCTTGCATCGGGTTCGTTCTCTGAGAAGCTCACGCTGGGTATGATACACCTCACGCCTAAACGAAACCAAAAACATAAAAACATCAAGTTTTCTACAGATGTTTCTTCGAACGCCTTAGATTTCTCACTCATGATTCATCGATTTCCAGGAAAAAGGGAAAAGATATTCTTACCTTAAATCTTCTACGTTCGCTACACTCTTTGTAAGGATGTTTTTCTCGCGGCGAAGTTTCTTAATTTCAAGTTTTAACAATCGGATGTCTTCCAACCTCTGGCGGTACTGAATTTCGCCTGTGTAAAACAATACGAGACGTCAACCGTTGTTAACTAAGGGTAAGGCAAGGGTAGGAAACAAAATAAATATAAAAACTGTTTGCAAATCAATTATGTCAAAACAATTTTTTCCTCTATACCCGGGTAAAAGTTGTCGCCTTTTGAAGACCTCGGCCCCGATGGATGAACCACAACGGAAAGTAACATCAAGTAAACTAATGACAGAAATGTTTATGGACAACACAACAAGCCTTACCTTTGTTAAGAGTTGACTGTTGTATTTTGATCTTTTCGTACAATAAAGCCAGTTCGTCGTTGCGTCTGACCAACTGCGTTCCCAAAATGTCTCTCTCGCTTATTACCTAAAATAAGAAATGCAAGGTTTCAAATAATTAGGTAAATTAGGTAAACATTGTAAGGAGGAAAAAAAATAAAGAAAACAAAGCAAAACAAAACAAACAATGCAAAGTCCATCATAACCGGGGATTAAAAAATAAGACCCGAATAACGCCTGTGTATGAGCCCCACCTGATCAAGTTCCTTCTTCTGCCGGAGCCTTTCAGCATCAGCTTCAGAGATGATCTTAAGTAGCTTCCTCTCTTCAACCTCCTGCTGTTCGATATAAGCCTTGGATTCAGCTGCTTGCTGCTTCATCCTCTGCAGCTCAGCCTTGAGTGCGTCCTTCTCCTTCTCCACCCTCTGATGCTCCAGATGTTCCTTGACCAGCGCGGCCTCTTTGGCCATGATCTCTTCCTTCAGTTGGTCGATCTGATGGTTCATGATCTTCAGTTTCCGTTTCATCTCGGTGATTTCGTCCTGAGACTCTATCAGGTTCTTGCTGTACAAGTTACGGTCACTACGGACAGCTTCGTAGAGATTCTGTGAGAAGAAATATTTTGAGTTCGTTGTTTTGTACTGCCAGGCTCGGTGCAGACTTAAAGTACATCATCCAGACTAACTTTTCCTTAATTTCTTTAGTTTACCCGAAGATGTTACACGAATAAGCGAACCTTGAACATTTCCATAGCACAAACAAAAAATACCCTTAACCCGTAGTTATCACCACGTATTCACAAATTCAAACCAAATTTCCAAAATACAAACCAAATTACAAGCCAAGTATATATTCTTTATCAATAAGTACAGTAATTCAGTGAAACAAAAAACAATTATCATTTACTCTTTCTAACGAAGAACCCAACATCCTTAAAAAATTACAAGGTTTCGAGGTCATAATTTCGCGTTACTTTATTAAATTAAAAAAAATCATTAGTTAATTTTAACTTAGTATGCTCTACAAACATACCTGTTGTTGTTTCAATTTCGTTTCAGCCTCGGCGATTTTCTTTTTGTAATCGAAGATCTGCATCTCACGGACCTTGACATCCTCCATGTGTTGTAGAACCTTCTGAGTCAGCTCGCTTGCTTCATTGATGTATCGATCTCTTTCCTTCTCCAGTTGATAGATAATCTTGCGCTGTTTTTGAGCTTCATCTTTGTAGTTCTACAACAATAAAGAACGTAAGGTTACACATTTTTCGTGTCCTATAGCGAACACAGCTTAAGTTGAAAACTGTGGTATTTCCTTTTTCACAAGTTAATTTTCTGGCACAAAAATGAGAGGAAAAAAATTCATAATATCATTAACATTTAAATTATTAGTTCACAAAGCTAACATGAGTATCTTGACTACAACTGGGGAATGCTTGACACACACACAAAAAAACAAAAACAAAAAAAAAACCAACGGCCTCCTAAAAAGACCACAAAATATTTCAAAAGTGAGTTTCTGACAGTGCTCCCACCTGAATCTCTTGCTCCAAGTTCTTCTTGGTTTGCTCGTGTAACCGCACAAGACCAAGTTGCTTCTGGGTTGCACCGGCTGCTTTCAACAGATTCTAAAAATAATAATAAAAAATGATTTGCAATTATTAGATATAACAAATATCAATTAAAAATCAAACAGTGATTCAAAATCACAACCTGACATTTAGGGTACGACAGAATTTAAGGGTAAAGTACCTTGTTAAGGATGTCCCTTTCACGGACGAGATCATCAATCGCTTTTTTATCCGCCTCGGCTTGTTTTTTGCTTGATTCAAGTTCTGATGGAGACAAAAGAATAGAATGGTTTATACAGTAAAAAAGAACAAATCTAAAAGAGTGAATACATAATAATTATCATAATTTTTAATGAAATAACGTTTATGAAAGAAAATTATGATCAGATTCCTCCGCGAGAAAGAAGAATCCTTTAAAATGTGCCCTGCTCCCAGCGTGTGGCTTCGTAGCTCAGTTGGTAGCAGCACCCAACTAGTGTCTCGAAGACACGGGATCAAAGCCTGAAAAGCTTCTTCAGTCCATTTTACAGTTGTGTGCCAAGCCTTTAGACAGGAGTGAGGCACACCACAACAAGGTCACCTTCAGCCTCACTCCAAATCACAGGCTTGGCAACTAAGTTCACAACTGTAAAATGGCCTTGTAGCTCAGGTTAATACTAATCACACAACAAAGATAACCTATGCAACAGGATAATACTTGGAAAAAGCTGCAATTTGTAGTTGACCTTGTCAGTATTGCTAGACCCTCAAACTACAGAAAAACCATAATTAAGGCTGTGACTTTGCTTTTTAAGGCCTACTTAGACCTGAGGAAAAATGAAAGCCAGATATATATATGAGATCTGTCTAGTTTCAACCAACAAAATCACTTTCCATCACGCCATCATTCCTCATACCTTTTTCCAAGCCAGCAATCTGTCCTTTAAGAGTTTCCTTCTGCTGCTCAACCTCCATTTTCTGATCCTCGATGGTTCTCAGCTTCCTCTGGATGGCTTCTCTCATTTTTGTAAGTCGTACAGTGTCCTGTTTCAGCGCATTAATTTCATCCTCCTTAGCCTTCAACTCTGCAGCTTTCTGCGTGTTTTCTGTGGCCAGCTGATCACAGCTAAGAAGTTGTTGATCATAGTCTTGCTGGACTTTAGTAAGGCGAGCATTCAATAAGTCTGTATCCTTCATGGCTTTTTCATTCAAGATCTAAAAAAAACAAAACAAAATATAATCAACAACTAGTGATAATATAACATAAGTAAGTCTCATCTAAGTCCACTAGCTTTTCAGCCATTACCTGTTAAGGGAAGGGTATTTCACTGCTCAAATTTTGACACAAGATTATGAGAGTTTTACAACAAATAACAATTAAATATAAACTAGAGACAAATTTACCCTCTGTTCTTTAAGTTGCTGTTCAAGCTTGGTGATATCTTCCTGTGCTCGTTGAAGATTCCCTGCTTTTGTTTTCAGTTCAGCAGTTCTAGTTTCCAAATCACTCTTTGCTTGTTTCAACTCCTTTTCAATTTTCTCCTTTTTCCTAGCTTCTCGCTGGGCTTCATTACTTCGCACCTGAATATCTTCCTTGAGCTGAAGGAGAAACAACAATCACACATGGTTTTATCTAAAAGGTAAAAATGAAAACCTGTCTTTGATCAATCTCAAAATCTAATGGACCCCTTTAGTGGATATCATGCTTTCCAACTTTTCACTAATACATTTTCAATCTGCCCTGTGGCTCAGATAATCATACAAATATCATTAAATTTGTCAAGTTTCATGAGTATATTTAGTAGACATAAGGATTTTATAAGGGACCCAAGTTGGACAAATTCTGCAACTTCAAAAGGACATCCAGATCCATCACTTCTAAGGATTTAGAAAATTATTTTTCTTAAAATTTGCAAATTTATTAGACTGCACATAATAAACTAATGCATGAACATGGTATACTTGGTTGAAATATAAGGAACAGAAAATTGCTGACTTGTAAAAATTCACTCAACCCACCTCAGCAATCTTCATCTCAGCCTCTTCTCTGTCTTGTTCAGCTTTCTGTTGTTTTGTAGTTGCACCTGACAATTCTTCCCTCAACTATGTAAAACAAAAAAAGCCATGATTAAAAAGGGCACTCTAAACAGTTTTGTGGTTTCCAGATGGAGCAAGGTTGCTTGCTTTCACTCCTTTTTCTCCCAAGATAGAGCTACAAAGGAAATTTTGGACTGTCTCAGAATTAGTATAGGTGATCACATGATTTGGCATGCAAATTTGGAATAAACAAGCATGAATAAATTTTTTCAAAGACTAACAAAATTACACGAGCACTGAATTAACCCTCTTCTGCATTGAATTACCTGAAAACTGCATTTATGTTAACCAATCAGAACTGAGTAATTTTTTATGTATCTTATTAGGCTGTGTAAAAGAGAGAATGAAAACTTGAACTGTGAAAAACAAGAAATCAAAAACCCTTACCTTGGAAATTTCAGATAGTTTATCGTCCCTTTCCTTTGTCAGCTCATCCTTGATTTTAAGCAGCTCATTCACACTTCGAGAGATGAAGCCACACATTTGAGTTATTAAAATCAAAGACTCTTACTATGTCATACAATTATAAATCAGTAATCATGAGTGAAAAAAGTGAGCTTTACTCAAGAGCTACAAATTCAAACAAATGAAATGAGCTTGTGGACTCAATGCTATAAGACCTAGTAGGATTTTCCAAGTAAATCATATTAAGCCATGTGTTAATGTGGTGCAAGCACACTGAATGAAAATGATAATACATCTGGCTCTTCCAATTGTATCTTTACTTCTGCGAAATATCATTGCTACTTTTTAGGTTATATTCTTTCAATTGACCATCACATAGAACATGTATGGTTTGTACTCTTTTGAAAATTCTAACTCTCTCCTTTAAGCTTGGTTTTCATTGACAACCCAAGCACAAATGCAAGCATAAGGTTTATATGCCAAATGAAAACAAATATTAAGAAAAGCACAAGAAAAAGGAAAAATTCATTTATCTTTATGCTTGTGCTTGTGCTTGCATCAAGGCTGTTTTCATGGTGAGCTGTTGTACTTACATTTGTACTTGTGTTTGTGCTTGCATTGCTAATGAAAACCAGACTATAAGATCAAGGTAAGAACCTTTACCTGATTTACCTATTTATGCTTATTACTTATTTGCTGTATAAAGTATTGCAGTAAAGAGGAGAATTTACATATTAATCTTACCTATGATCCTGACCCATGGTCAAACCAGCTCCTTGCTCTACAAGTTTGCTGAGATTTGCAATTTCAAGTTTCAAAGACTGAATTGTCTCCCTTGCTCTCTGTTCTTTATCATGAGCAGCATCCACCATTTTCCATGCCTTCTCTATTTCCTAAATAAACAGCAACAATAACAAATACCAAAAAAATTAAGCAAAACATTATAAACATTACATTAAATGAAGACAAACCAATCCCTTATCCAAGCCCTAACAACATTCTCTTGTTAGCTATGAAGTAAACTAAAGGAAGCAAATATATTATATGCTTTTTAGCTGACTTCTTGGAAAACACTTCAAAGTTGGTATCCCTAATGACTGAGTCAGAGGCTGAGTGATAGTTAGCATTGCCCAAACATGTGAAAATTGAACATTAGAGTTATAGCAGAGTCATAAACAAGATAAAATTGGAGTTGGGAGAATGAGAATGACCCCATTTTATTCTGATTCCACTTATAACCCTAATACTCATGATCCACTAACAGTTATAAAATAAGCTAATTTATATACACATTCTGATTGGTTCTTACTAATGATCTATTGGAGGACAGACACATACATGTATCAATAGCATTTAGTTTTTTATAACATATAAAACAAATAAATTCCAAGTTGTTATAGGTTTGTATAGTAATAATTATTACAAAAACAAAACAAGGAAATCTGGTAGGAAAATCAGCATCACACTCTGCTTCACCTTGTGTGCTACTTTTTTGTTCTTCCCACATTTTGACATCTTCTGTGATCTATTACTTAACCCTAAACCCCTAAGAGTGATTAGCATTTAATTTCTCCTTACAATATCTCCCCTGAATCATGCACTAAGGTCATAAGAATAATGGAAATGATAAAAAAACTACAGAAGCTCTGGTTCTTTAAGCTAATCCTTGTCAGCAACTTGGGAGGTGTATAGAGAACAGTATGGAGAATATGCATATTGATGTTTGGGACTGTAAAGGGTTAACAGGTGCATGACAACATAGACAACATTAACTATATTATTGAATTAAGCAAACAGGAGTCGAAGAACCAACCAATCACGGTATCAGCTCTGATCAGACCAATTGAGTATAGTCTGAAGTTTACGACCCCATTGATCTACATGTAGTCTTCACAAGACCTTAAGTGATTTAGTGACGAGTAGTGTAGATACTCTGTTTTCCATTCTATCGATTTTATTTCTTTTACGATATTGTATCGCTCTATGCTTCTTAGTCTAAAGTTGTCGTTAGGGAGTGAATGACACCGACATACTCGGAAAAAATATCTCCGAGTAATCTGCCAAATGGGAATCGAACCGACAACCTTGCTGTAAGTACTTCGAATGCTCTACTACTGAGCTACAGCAGACTTGTGAAAATTATCAAGCGGTTAAATGATATTTTAACTTCTTTGTTGTATTTTCTTTTCCTGCTACCTGCATATTTACGTATGTTTACCTTTTTTAGTGAGGCGATCGTGGTCTGATCTTCCTGAGAGAGCTTCAAAGCAGTTTGAACTTTCGAGGCGTTCGCCACAATCTCTGCATTTAACTCTCGGCATTTTTGCATCAAACGTTTCTCACTTTCGTGGGACTTTTTCAATGCTCTGTGCAACTTTTCATATTCTACGCGAAACTTTTCAAGACTCTTATCTCCCATGAGTTCCCCGAGAACCTATAAACGTGAAAGATAAGAAATTTATTACCTTTTTTTCTTGCATTGTAGAACTGGCTACATTAAAACTTCGACTCAGGGACAAAATAAATCGAGTTTTTTCCTCGATACAAACCTCCTGAAAATCTCTCTCAAGAGCTTCAAAGGCATTTTCTTCGATGGCTGGCTTTTCTTTAAGATCTTGAGATTTTTTGTCCGTCTGAAACAGTATGCACCGATAAAACGGTAAATTTATAAAACTCGTCGACAACAAAAAAAATAGATACGTAAAATTCAACTGTAAACGAGGCTGCATATGGAAATATAACACTCGAAACAACTAGTTGTATTACCTCCATATCTTCTTGATGTGTTTACGGACTAGAAGTCCGATCGTGAGCTGTAACTTCGAGGTTTGTTGCTTCTCTACTGATTGTTCGACTCTTCTTTAGCCAAAATGGCGGACAACGTTTGATGCGTTGTTTCTATGGCTACAAAGTATTTTCCTCTATTCGTGCCCAGTTACACTCACCATAAGAAATAGGCCCGCCGTGCGTTTAGAGGAAATATGCAAATTTACTATACGAAGATCATGAAAAATTCTGAGTTTCCATGAGGGATCGAACCTCAGACCTTTGGGGTCTCAGTGGTGTGCCAGACCTAAAGGAAAGGAGTTCATAATGACAAGCGTTATAAGATTATAAGATCAATAATGTGAAGAGTGGCTTGGTAAACAAACAAACAAACAAACAAACAAAAAAAACAGATGGTAATTTGGTGTTCGCATACTAGAAGCAAGTAAAAAAGCAAGTACATACATTCTTCATTGTTTATTTCACATTTTCTTTCTTCGATTATTAACAAGCTATTTGAAAGCCTAAAAAAGTAGTTTGTCTTTCTTTTCATCCAGAGGCCTCAGGGCGGAAAAGGACTTATATGTAACGCGCGATAAAGCCCAAAACTAAAAGACTAAAAGAAGGGTAAAGTAAAGTGAGATTTAAAGTTTTCCGTCTTAAATTTGCGACGCATGGAATACTATCTACTATATACATAACGTAATGCATGAATTTTTCAAAACATTTGTGCGTTAAACGGGCCTCAGGACCGGAGCCTCCCTATGCTACCCTCCATGCTGTCTGGGACTTGAATTGATCTTAGCCAGGAGCCCATTACTTAATAGGCTCCTGTCTTTGCTTATTATCTGAGGTATCGCATGATCACGCAATACTCACAACCTCTACACTTACAGAGGAAAAAAAAAAACGACTTAGACTTCGAGCAGTCCCTCCTTTCCGACGAAGTCCGTTGCGCGAATCAAAAGAAAAAAATCGCTCAAATAAAAATTGATGTTAGCAAGCCGCTCGGAAAAGTAACTCTGGAAAGTACTTTTCATGCCCCTCACTCCTCGAGTTCCGCACGGTGTGCTTTCATCAGTTCGTTTTTCCACTGGTTTTTTTTTTAACTCGCGCGACAGACTTCGCAAAAAACTGTTCGTTGTCTGCTTGGAAACACATTTCGTTTAGGGAACAGCCAGGGCGCCGGAGGATTTTTTTTTTTGGGGGGGGGGGAGATCTCATGGATTTCAGGGGGAACGTGCGAGGATAAGTAATCGCCAAATGAGTACAGTAAACATAGGGAACTGTATATGAGTATTTTTAAAATAGCCTGCCAAACAACTGCCAATGAGGGGCATAATCACAGAGCCTTTTGGAGGGATCAGGTAAACTTATCGTGACGTAACCAAATTTCTCCCAGCCTGGGTCTAATTTAGCCCGGGGCTGGAAAACGGAAGTTGGGAAATAAGATGTGTTGTTTTCAATATTTTGTTTTGTTTCTGGTTTGTTTTGATTTTTCTCTCCCGACGCAAGGTTGAATCCACAGGGTTCTTGAATGTTTGCTTCTTAAATGCTTAGACATGTCGAAACTTGTTGCCCCATGTTCCTTACGGGAACAAATATCTGTTTTTAGATAATCTGCTGATGAATGATACGTTCAATATGCCCGAGGGAGGTTGCGTAATGAGTATTTTCCACTGAAATTTGATCCTGAAGAAAGAACATTTCACTTAAAGCACTCGTATTTGGAAAACAGTAGGGTCTAATAGACATAAGTTTTCGGTAAGATAGGTCGGATATATATGAATAAAAGCTCCGAAGTTCGTGATTTGCGCAGAAATTGGTTTGACATAATAACTAAGTTGACATGATCTCTGTTACGAGTGAAAACCTTCCGAAAAAAAAAAAACTGCCAAGTGCAGGAATAATGTTTTATCGGCACCTCTCTAAGAGGATTATTCTTTTAAACGTCACAAATAAACCCCAAATGGCATAGCAGATAGTAAAAAAACATGCTAAAAACAATTCAGTCTTTAAAGTTGGGATGGAGAAATTGAATATTCTTTGTAATGGCCGCGATTAATGATTGCCGCTACAATGAATGTTACTTTTTTATCGTTTGCCACATACTATCATAGATTAATGAGGAATCAAAGAATGGCGCAATATCGGCACTAAATTTCAATATGGTATTGTACTTCGGTTACGCCATGACATTGCATGTCAGTAAGTCCTTTCAGCGTAATAAAAACAGTTCTTGTTTCTGTTGTTTACTTTAAAGTATAAGGCGGGTTGATTTTTTTGAATCACTGATGTTAACCCTGACTTCGGTAAACAAGAGATACGAATATAATGTTGGCTGATTTGAAAGTCATAGCAATTAAACAGGCCTGTGGGAAGAGTATTTTTCAATATCACAAAAAGCAGTGAACGCGGATTGGACGAACGAGTGACGTCACGATTCTAGGTACATTTCATTCCATGTGACATAGGGAAAACTACATAGCTATTGTGCTTTCCCAAGAAACAGCGGAGGGTCGAGTTCTCGTAGGATTGTGCAGCTTTGCACGTATCAGAAATCCATCCAGAACCCAAATCAGGGGCCGAGGGAGATCTCTAGACAATCGCTGTCGAAGCGAAAAGCACTTAAGCTTGGTGGATTGACCGGCCGGACCGGGTTATCACATAGCAGTTTTATCATCAATAACAACCTCTCCCTCGCAGAGGTTAAAGATAAAGCCCTCAGGATAATGATTCCTGATTCTAGTTCTATACCCGCAGAAGTAAAAGCCCTGGTTTTCGACTGCGATGGTACTCTTGTGGATACAATGCCAATTCATTGGAGGGCTTGGTGTAAAATCTGCAAAGAGACAGGACTCGTTTTCCACAAAACCGACTTCTACACGCTAGCGGGAGTACCCGGAAAGAAGATTATCAACATTCTGGCCAAACAACAGGGAATCAAACTTGATCCGTTCGTTATTTACGACAGAAAAAGGAAGTACTTTCTTGAAGGATTAACGTCCGTTGCCCCCATTCCATGTGTTGTACGAATCGCTCGAGAAGCTCAAAGATTGGGAATCCCAATCGCTGTTGCTTCGGGAAGTTCGCGCACCCAAGTTCAAAAAGGTATTAACCCTACAATTCGATATTTTGGCTACAATACCCTTAAGTTAAGTAGCGAATCTTAAAAAGTATCATTAAGGATACCTGTGTGATATAGCGAAGAGCGTTTTGTGTAGGCTCCTGTAGTTTAGAACACAAGATCCTAGATTATTTACATTAATCGATATTTAGTTTGAGCAGCAATATGGCCGCGCCCCCTGACATACCCTCAGACGAATTATTTCTAAAACAGTTAAGTTCCACATTTCAGCAAAAGAACATCTTATTGTAATTTTTTCGGGGGCTTTGTCGTATCAGCGTTTTTCCCTATGACTCAATGTTGTCTTGTACAAAGAAAATATCGAAGCCTTTCGATATGCAGTACAAAGTCCATCGGAAAACAATGGAAGTTGAACGCGTTCATTTATTTAACAGATAACTCCCTAAATTAGCCAAAAACCTCTCAAAGAGACCCTCTGTTTTCAAGAAGCTCATTCAATCGACATGTTCTTCATTGGGTTTTCATGTTGGGCATTTTGTGTTTGTTATCGTGTCGAAAATATTTACGAAAGTTGAGAACGATAACAACATGAGAGTTTGGAGGAGTGCGGAGGGTGTGTGCGAATAGAGCATTTTCATTGGTTACCTACAGGTGGTGTCGGTGCTATTGTCAACAATAATGTTCGATGGAGCACGTACGCACTAGCGCTTTTGAAACAACAGTATTTTTTTGTCTTTAGGGCCGATTTGGTGAGAATAAATTTTAAACACAACTTCTTATTTGAACGAAAAACGTGAGCTTTAGCTGGTGATGAGATCGGTTTGGGCCTCTTTTTTTCGTGACGTTTTATTCAACGGGAGATGGTAGTAGTAGTTTTTTACCGCGGTAAAAAATCAGGTGCTAAACCGGCAATAAATTATTCAAAACTTCACTTTGACTAAATAACGATGATACTGGTTAAAGCAAAGTGTTCGATTTCTAACTGATTTGAGGATTTTTTTCTCGTAAGGGGTTTACAACTACAACTATAATCGAAAACTTACTGTAAGTGTAATTATAACAAACGACTTGTTTTTCAGAAGGTTCTAGAGATTTAGAGATTCTCAAAATTTTCCTTAAGTTTTACTATTCTTTTCTCAGCAATTTCAGCCAGTTAAAATAACTGTTTTCAATGTTTCACCAGTGATATTTTGGGAAATTTTCTAACGAACACCATGACATTTAGTAACACCTAAATTAAACTTCTCGGTAAGATTGCACTTTCAACATCGTGGCTGTTACCAGGATGCATTTTTTATCACCTTTTAAGATGCTTAGTTTTCAGTAGGAAATTTGTTAAGTGCCCTTTAATTACATACATTTCCATTGGATGTAGTTCAATCTTACAGCATTTTACTTTTCATGGATTCCTTCACTGAGTAATGTTTTGGTCAGGATTTTTTGCTCTCTACAATAAAATCAATGTTTTTGTTTGTTTGTTTTTTCATATACAGCCCTGAGACTAGCTGGGATTGACAACCTATTTGATGTAGTGCTTGGAAATGAAGATTATAAAGAACACAAACCTAAACCAGATGCATTTATCACAGCAGCCAGTAGACTTGGTGTCAAACCTGAGGAATGCTGGGGCTTCGAAGACACGTAAGGACTTTATTTCTTTTCACTTCCTGAAACTGTTGTGTTCAATTGCCATTTGTCATAAAATATCTCTTGGAATAATATTTTACTTAAACTCCAGTTTAAACTTGTTTTCGTAATAGGAGTACAATTCATAAGGTTTTGTAGTTGCTTTTTAGCAGCAATAAAGCACTACATGTTTTTAATGGTTTGCATAACTTTTCCACAAGTTCTCACTATGGCAAAGAGAAGCAAGGGCTATTATTCATTTCACAATACAAGCTTTACACCGTTTAACTTAAAACTATAATGTTTGAAATATCCCATCAAAGCAAATATTGTAACATCAGTGAAACCCTAGTTCAGAAAATAGCATATCTGATTGATATTTTAGGGATATTGGCCTTGAAGCATTAAGACAAGCTGGATACCACAGGATAACAGATGTACGGCAAATGGAAGGATATCCAGTCAGGACAGATGAAAATGGATTAGCAATAACAAATCACGGCACAGAATTTCGTACTCAAAGATATAGAGCCTTTACAACTTAAAGAGGTTATTGACATGCCTCTGGAAAGCGTAAAGTTACCATGACATTCAGTGCAACCCTTAAATGATGGTAGATGTGTCACTAAGTTACTTTGTTTCATACGTTATTTTTATTTCATTCTAACTTTCCTTTTTCTTATTTTATATATTAAAAGAAAATTCAATGGGCCTTTTCAAGAGGATCTTTGGTGGAATAATGTTATTTAAAAACCACATCAATTTAGAAGCTGTAAAATCTACATTTATCTTTAGAGATGTGAACAAAAGTTTCCAGGGGACAAGATCTTTGAAGTAAGAATGTGGAAATGGATATCATTTTTAGAAACCTTTTAAAAAATGTTTAGTCTAGCTTTATCTCATCAAATGAATTTTGCAGAGTTCAGTTAGGGTTTGAAACATATATTAATTTGAACATTGTGGAGTGGAGTGATGTTGGACAATTCATGTTTGGTAGAGAGCTTTAGGTAATATTTTTCATTTATCAACAGTCTGCATTTGAGGGTTGCACTGAAATTTTCAAATCTATAAACTTTTATACATGCATTGTACATTAATTTTATAAAATAAGGATCTGATCACACTCTTAAGCCTACACAACTTCAATTTTTTGACAATGATCTCATGGGGAAAAACTTTGAGAACTAGTTAATGTTACTATACTCCAAGCTAGGTGTTTTGTGATTGAAGATTCTATTTCTGTTACAGATGATTGAGAGTTGATTTCTTTGTATGTAATTCCTGCTTTTACCAAATCTGCTTTGTAGTTTCGTGATTGCTGCAATTTTGTTACATAATTTTTAGTAGGTTTTTGATTATCAATCAACTGAAGTTCAGTTGACTATTACATCCTAAGATTAGCAGACCCATGAATATCACTGAGAATGATTTGAAAATAACGGTTACTAATTACATAGGGAACAAAGTGATTATACACTGAAATTATTAACAGCAAAAGTATTTAGTTTAGATGATGTTTAAACCAGAAAGGTTGCAAATATGCCATGTCTTTAAATTTTGTTGTAAAAAGTTATCATGATGTATTTATTTAAATTTTAGTTTCCCAAGTTTTATTGGGAATCATCAGAAGGTATTAATGATTTAAATATGGGAAGGATAGGCAGAAAAATTACATTCACTGGAGAACAAAACATGTTGGAGTTAGTGATTATAAGCAGAGTATGATTCTTTATAAATTATATGTAGTAAAACTGTGTTTTATTACTGTTAGAACTATCCTTCTCTGATATCTTGATCAGATGTGGAAACTTGTTTAGAGGGAAAGGAAAATGAACTGGGAAATGATTGAATGATGATATTGATCAATGCTTCATTGTAAAGAAACCACAAAGAATATCAAGAGCACCAACATTGAAAGATTCTGAAATTGTTTTCACAAAACAAATAAGTTGAAATTTTGCAACAACGTTATTATCCATACTTGTTGGTGACCACATAAAATTATAGGCAGATACAGACACATTCTAATGTTGAAGAATGTGCCCAGTTACTTTGAAGGAACTGACCATGCAGTAATTTCGTACATTATCAAATTGATAAATTTCTTAAGCTTGCAGGTGACAAGATTGAAGAAATTGTTAGATTTAATTCCAAATTACCACAGCTAGAATGTGATAAAAAGTTAAGCTAGCTGACAATAAAGGGATTTGACATTAAGATTAAGCTGCTACATCAAGGGAAAATAGTATAATTAAAAAGAAAATAAATAGATGAATATTTACTTCGATGTGTCATTAATTTTCTCTTGGGTTCATTAATGTTATTTTTTTTGTACCGACCAATTCATTTGTGAGTCCAGACTTATCCCTTTTACTCTAGTAACCCTTTTAAAAATGTGGCTTTTTGCTAGAAAGGAAACTTGTTTTAACTTCTGAAACTAGGTAGTCTCTGTTGCAAGGCTACGTTATCAATATCAAAGCGTGACCTAGCACTACATTCATTTGATAAAAATCTACACGTTGACCACAATCAACAAAAAACAATTCCGATTTTAAACTCTTTCAAGTTCATTCTTACGCACGTTTAGAACAGAAAATTGGGCATTTTTATGTTAAAATACTTCAGTGTTCTACTAGGTAAAATCGCCAATGGGTATGTTGAAGTCGTTGGAGATTGCTTGCTTGAAGAAGTGAAGTCTCCTTTCGATGACCCGTTCTTCCAATTCTGAGATCGTTTTTACACGAAGAAAATTTTGAGAAAAATCAAGAAATTGTTTGTTGACAACAGAGAAGATGCGGTGAAACCCAATTTTCACGCAGTAACATTTGGTGGTTATGACATTGCAGTTCTCCTTGAAGTTCCGTGTATCATCACGGAACACAATCTCACGCAACAAACCATTACTGTAAGATAGGGATAAGTCTTCGAGGTTCTGGACTAACGGATTGGAGGAGTTCAATATTTAAACGTTTTCTGAAGTTTGAAAGGGCCGATTTCACGATTGTCTCGAAATGCTTTCATAGTCCGTATTTTACTCTGATTTAGATGTAAAGCTGGAATTTACATACTTCAGTCCATTTAAATGTCAAAATCGTAAACAAAATAAAGTACGAGCAGTTGAAAGGACGGTTCGCGCAGTTGAAGTAGACGGCGAAATTCCTCCCACACGATGAGTTTCTCAGAGGGTTATTCCTACCGCTATTGTTGAGAATAACTGTCTCAGAGACCGAATTTCTTTTCTTGAGACAAGGTAAATGAATAAATATACTTCTACATTATTTTGAGTCGAGAAGAAGAAAAATGGACTTCATAATGCCAGTAGTACTAGTAGTAGTCTTGGTAGTCCAAAGTCCAGTTCCGTAGTCCTATACAATTCCAATAGAATAACTGTGAACCATAAGTCCGTGACGATGAACACAAACCTCATTCATTCGCGGATTTCGCGATTGGCGGTGAATGACCCAGAGTGATATCAAGCCTATCACCCACGTTTTTGGGTGGTACCCATTTTTTTTTTAACGTTTTAGAAAACATCTCTCATATCTTCATGCCAGGGGGTTCATCACTGTAGAAACAATTAACTTTGCGCCCAGGTGCTTCATCGATGAACAACGACAGAAGGACCTAGAAAACAAAGGAGAGAGATCCCATACTAAACCAACTCTAACCACGCTAACAACGTAATTCATGGTAACATTTTACATTTTGAGAAAGAAAATCTTGATCGCTGAATCGGAGAAAATTATTGATATATTTGGAAGGGCAAGTTGATAATATTGCGCAAGACAAACCCAGGCCAAGGGTTTTCAACTTTCGTCGCAATACGTGCAAGCTTCTTTGTGAGGACTTAGGCGGGAAGTGTTTGCTCTTGTTGGAAAGCTGTTTATTTTTCTCTCAACAACACTTTCGCGGAATGCCATTACCCGCAGAGGTTAAAGGGCTGATATTTGATTGTGACGGGACATTGCTGGATACGATGCCTTTACACTGGAAGGCTTGGTGTGCAATCTGCAAGGAAACTGGTTTAAAGTTTGACAAGGAGAGCTTCTTCGCTCTTGCAGGAGTACCTGGGAGAGAGATTATTCGCGAACTAGCAAACCAGCAAGGGATCAATTTAGATCCTCTCGAAGTGTACGCTAGGAAGCGATCTTTCTTCCTCAAAGGACTACAATCTGTGAAAATAATTCCTTGCGTTGTACGCTTTGTTTTGGAGGCTCGACGCCTTGGTATTCCAACAGCAGTAGCATCAGGGAGTTCCCGTGTTCAAGTCGAACAAGGTATATGGAGTCAAAAGATTTTTACATGCTCACTAAATAAATGGACAGTTTTACTTTGAATAGTTTTTCCAAGTTGTGGTCGACTTTTCAGTGTTTTGAACATTGATCACTTGACGCATGAGAAGGGTCAAAGTCCATTTCCGCAAACTCTCCAGATCACCCTTTGACCACACAAACGATTAATCCTTTCATGATCACTTTACTCACTTTTAAAAAGTTTGAATATTCACCCTACCTTAAAATTAAAAAGAAACGTAGAGAAATCAAAGACATGAGAAAAGACACTCACGATCATAAGTTAATTGCTGCGGCTCGTGATGTGAATAAATTTCAGCTGAAATCCGCCCTTGTATTAGGAACAACACGCGAACTACACGAAATGTGGTCAGAACATTTTAATATAGTGTACGTTATCGAAAGAATATTTGTATTATTTACTTCGCTGTTCATGACATTAAATAGCTCTGATAGAAGCTGGGATTCGTGACTTGTTCGACGAAATTGTTGGAAACGAAGATTATCAGAATGCGAAACCTCATCCTGACGCATTCCTTACAGCTGCAGAAAGATTGGGTATAAACCCTCACGACTGCTGGGCGTTTGAAGACTCGTGAGTATTTCAAGATTTTTTCGATTGAATGTATTGTTTAACCGAATTTATATGGCTTTACAAAGTAACTCACTTGCCCATAGTTCCTTTTTTAACAACTCATTGTCTAGTAATTGATCGCAGATGACGTTTAAGGGTGGTAAGAACAAATAAGAGGTATGCGAAGTGCAGCCAAGTGTGTCAGTGATATTCTAGCCATATTTCGACGTCCCCTGTGATCTATTTTTGAACAGACCCACGGCAACTTGGCTACAAAATGATAAATTTAATTCATTTCGTGTCCCACACAAAACTTAATTTTAAAAATTAAAAAAATTTTAAAAAAATAACCACAGGTAGTTGGTAAGTCAAAGAGGTAACAGTTTAAAATAAAGAAAGAAGGAATTAGAATGATAAACTTCAGAGAAGATACACATGAATTGCAAACAACAAACACACATTTCAAGATGCGCAAATGCTAAGGTAATCGAGAATCAAGGATCAAGAATTGAGTTTCTGGGGGCTGTAAACTTACTTTTGAACAGGCTTAAAAAATATAAATCCTGATTAATTTGCATCACAATATTTTTCAGGGACATTGGAATTGAAGCAATAAAAAGAGCTAACTTTGCCAAATTTGTGGATGTGCGGCTTCTAGAGGGGTATCCTGGGAAGGTAGACTTGAAAGTAAAGGCTAGGGATTGAGGGTTCCTGAAATGAAGATACACAAGCCACATTGTGAGGTGCTGACCAGTCCAGATGGCCTCCACAAGTTTCAGAGCCAACCAGGACTGATTTAGGGTTAGACTGCAGAGCCTCCTCACTAGCAATCATAGATGACTGTTAAAAATTTGCATTTACTTGAATTGGAGAATTCACCATGAGTGTAATTTCCCTGTTGGCACAGGAAAACAAGTAAAGCAGGAGGTAGTAATCAACACTAGTGTGAATGAACAGCCTTCAAAGAAACATTAAGATTTAGAGGGTCTGCACCCTTTAGAAGTGTCTAACAACAAAAAAAAATTTTCAGGAATTCCAAGCCATGTTAGGCACTAATAAGATGCAATTCAAGTAGTTAATTTAAGCAGTTATCACTTGAAAAGGAGAATACTGTTGTATCATACTTGTTCTACTTAGACTTTTATGTGAAGTACTAGACAAGTGCAGTCTTGAAGTGTGATAAATACACCATTGCTTTTATGCTTATGAAATTTTTACCTGAAATACAGAGTAGGTGATATAACATGTTAGTTGCTTTTGTGTACATATTCTTTTATCGTTTAACTTTTCTTTCTAAGAACACATCAGTAGTCACTTGCCAAAAAATATGTAAGTAGCATTATTAATTTAATATTATATTTATTCAATAAAATGCCCTTGCCCCACTACAATTTGTTCATAAATGGAGTGATTCAAACTGACAATACCAATAGCTACAGCTGTGGTATTTTCAAATGTTTGATTCACACATGGATAACATTTATCAGAGAGCAAACAGTATTTTAAGTACTGTTATTTTAACAATTCATAGAACTTTACATGTAGTGTATTGGAGTCAACAACAAATTTCATTTTTGGGCTTAAAACTTTTCAAACCAGTTCTGTATTTTTCTATCTCTTGTATCTTATTATTACCATTGTTATCATTATAACAATCTGAAACATAGTAATAGTAAAATGAAACTGGTTCGAAAAGCTTAAACCAAAGATCACCAATATCCACACACAAGGATTCAAAATATGAATTTGAGCTAGGCACTGATTTGTTTTCCTTTGTCTCATTCCACACCTCTAAACAGTTTGATTTAAAAACTTTTTTTGAAGTTCAGATAAACACTAAACACAGTTTTACATGTTTAATGTTCATCTAAATGTCAAAGAAGTTTTTAAATTAAACTGAAAAGTGCAGTGAAATGAGTAGAGGGAAAATGAAACAGTGTATAACAAATTAGCATCATAAACATTTTCACAATGAAAAATAAATATCTCAAAACTTTGTTATCAGTCAAGGTTGTCACAATACTTGCTTAACCTTTACATAAGTATGCATATTCTCCATTTCCTAAGTTGCTTACAAGGAGAATTTTTCTAACAATCAAATGCATCTTTAGTCGGTGATCATTTCCTGTATTCTCCTGACCTTAATGTTTGATTCAGGGTGATATTGTGAGGAGAAATTGCCCGTCACTCTTAGTGTCAAAGGGATAATCTTATGCTGTTACTTGAGCCAATGGTGTAGAATCTGTGTGAGACTTATCTGTCTGTAGATTGATAAGTGTGTTGCTGCTTTCTGCAAGTTCACTGATCGTCACTCTTCCTCGTTGCTTGATGAACTTAGCTACAGCTTGCAATTCTTCAGGGGATATGTAAATGAACTTCCCCCGATCATCTGTCACTCCTAGGACATGGTTTAAGCAAATAAGTGCCAACTCAAACTTGAAAGCTTATAAACCATTATATGAAATATTGATGATAAAGATTTCACTGAAAGTCCAAACTTTTTGTGCCAAGAAAAACTAAAATTTGTCATGTTCACCATTTTCCATCTCTGGTCTGTGGATAACTGAACAACTGTACAATAATTGCTTGATACCTGTTATCCTTTCCATTTCCTGTAAATCTTGTAGTCGGTCAATAGCATCTTGAGTGCGAAGACCAAACTGACAAGCTAGCTCCTCCAACAACACCACTTTGTTAGTCTGAAATATAATGCACAATTGGAATTGAGGTACTTTTAGATGAACTATAAAGATTCAAGAAAAATTCAGGCCACTTTGTGTCTTAAATACAAAATTTACACAAAGCCTTAGAGACAAAAATTATGAGAGAAACATATTACACATTTAAAATCTCAACCCTTTACACCCTAACATCAGTGTGCACATTCTCCATAATGTTCTCTAAACATTTCCTAGGGTGCTGACAAGGAGAATTTGTCTATCAATCAAGAGCTTCTTTAGTTGGTGATCACTTCCCTTATTCTTGTAACCTTAATGTTTGATTCAGGGGTGATATGGTAAGGAGAAATTAGATGCCAGTGACTCTTAGGGCTTAAAGGGTTAATATTTTGTTTTTTGAGTGGAACCAGAAGGTAGGAGCAGTGCATCATTATAAAAATTGATCTACTCAGCCACTCTTATCCAAGCTTACACATTTAGTTTTAAATCTACTAACCTTTATGTAGTTCACAAATTCTTCCAGAAGTGCTTCAGACTTGGAAAAATACAAAATGAAAAATATTTGGTAAATTTAAAAAGATATTTTATTACAAATTAAAGTGAAAATAAGCTAAAAAATAATTTCCACATACATTGATTCTCTATTTAATTATTAAGAATATTCTTAAAGTGTAAAGCTGAAATTGTTAAGATTGACAATCATGGACTATAGTAGTTGTCAGTTTGAACAAAGTTGGTGATGCATATAATTCAGCTTCTATGAAAGTTCATTAAATTAAAATAATTTATAGCTTCATCCTCTCTTGAATAGTCCCTAGCCCTTTTTCACTGAACATTGGAATCAATCAGAACAACAGTCTATAGTCTCAAACAGGTCAGTTTTGTAACACAGTGGACTGGGGCTGCATTTAGACAGGATGGCAACTGAGAAAAGAATAACTGGAAAGCCATTCAATTAACAAGTACAGATTATATTTTGGATCTGCATTATCTCCAATTTACTGGAATAAACAAATACTACAAGAAATCCCTGACTGGTAGACTTACTTCTTCTGCTGTCTCACCAACACCTTCCTCTTCCACTGTAAACTGTTCTTTTAACAACAGATATTCTTCATGTTCTTTCTGTTCTTGTTCCTCTTTTCTCTTGCGTTCCTCTTCTTCCTGAAATGAATTTTGGATCAAAATTAATTATACATTGCAAGATAGATGCGCTCAAACACAAACTTTGGCTTTTGCATTTGTCACACACTGAGGTTAATTTACCTTTGGCTTAACAATTTAAAGTGAACAAATTGAGTGTGTTGATTTACCTGTTGATACAGTTCAGAAGTCTCTTTAGAATAGACAAACTCATTGAGGAGTTTTAATCTTGACCACATGTATATTTATTAATAAGACTACCTTTTTTTACCTGTTTTAAGATATTACGATCATTCTTGCAAGACAAAACGTCTGTAAAAACCCTGTTTATATAAAGCTGATGTGGAAGAGAGTTTGTTGTTTAATTTTGCTGTTGTTCTTTACAATTTGTCAATAACTGTTTGAAACACACCAAGTAAAACAAAGTGAACTCATCAAAGAACTGAGTTCATCTCTTCCAAATCAGTTAAACAGAAACATTCTTGACCAATGGTAAAAGTAAACACAGACTGAAATTGATATTAATCAGCCTGAAGACCCCAAGAGTATTTTGCCAGAAACACTTCCATAAAAAATAAAAATGGTCGATAAATATTCCTCAGGAAGAACCAATTCCTTGTTCATCAGATTCTACTTGGATCAAAGTCAGACTCTGAGCAACTGTGTACCTTCCCCTAACACAAGAACAGTCAACTAATAACAAGTTAATGTTGGGTTGGGGGAGCAGTAGGCATGCAGTTGCTCAGATACTGACATTGATATGTCAACTGTACAAAAAGTACGAACCAGTCGTTCTTCTTCTTTTCTCCTTCTTGCTTCTTGTCTCTTCCTTTCCTCATCACGTAATGCTTCCCGTTGCTTTTTGTCTTCTCTCTCAGCCTCCATTTGCTTTCCAAAGAAAAATGTATTTCAATCATCACACACGTTTCATAACAATGCACTCTTCTCCAAATGATGACCACAAACTTTAAATCTAATTACAGACAGTAACCCTCAGATCAAGTAAAGCAACAGTTAAAATAACTTTTTCCATATGTGCCAATTGATGATGTAATTGGTGGCTGAGCCCAAAAAGGGGCCATTAGACATAAGCTAAACACAAGTGACAGCCTGCTCCAGGCACTAAACAGACAGCTGTAAGAGGTCCTATAGGTAATGGTAGACCCTTGGTAACCTTCTTTTATTGAAATGCCCAATAGAAGCATGAGTTAGGTGGTATAAATCACTATTCCTTAAATGATGGTCTCAAATTGTTCATATTTTCATTTGCAAGTACTGGTATCTTATATTCCATATTGCATTTTTGCTAGAAGTAAATAGAGAATAATATATAGGTGCATGTAGATATGGAATTTCTCTTTGAGTGTTTAACTTGATAGCTCACGAGTGAGCGCAGAGAACGAGTGAGATGTCGAGTTAAACACGAGAATAAAAATTCCATATCTACAAGCAACCATGTATTATTTTGTTTATCATATAAACACAATAGCCCTTTGCTGGGAAGAAAAGCCAACTTTGTTGATGAATGAAAACAAATGAATCAACAATCCACAAATAACAATCATAGAGTGCATTGGCATTAACTCTTAAGATGGAAAAATGCATTGAATCATAATACAAAAACAACAATGGTCATAATTTTCAATTTACAAATTCTCATTTATTGACTTTGTCCTCATCAACAGAAGAAGTCTTTCAGGTAAATGGCCAAAATTGGCCAGTGGCAAATCTTCTAGTAGTCAATTTTCATTCTCAGACGAGAGAAATGTTGACACCAAAGCCACTGACTTTCGGTTTTTCTTTTTATTACTATATTGGTTTCCTTCCTCTTCTAAGAAAGTTTGAACCTCACAGTCTGTCAGCGACACGGATTTTTTAGTGTTTTAGCCGCCATAATTCGAGAAAGCTCCGACAAAAAACTTTTATTAAGAATCATGAAGGCTTTGCCGTTCATTCATCAACCTGACTGAGTGGTGCCAAAGGCAAGTGACATGTCAGCAGCTGATTGGCTGTATCAACACACGTGAAAAAATATGATGTTTTTTCATGTGTGTTATTATGGCTTTTCTCAGAGCCAGAAATCCCTGTATAACACCACAGTTTATAAATGTGATAAAAGGTGTTCACACAAGTACAGGTATTAATTTTTTTTAAATCAAGATAACCTTTCCACTTCCACAAGTGTACATTTAATACTTCCTCCTTACAAAGTTTATAAACAGTTGAAAGGTAGTATAGTCCAAGAAAGTTATCATATATCATGTTGGCTTGGTATAACTTACACATCTTACAAACACTTAACAAAGAAATGTTTAACTTGCTATCTAAAAATTTCACCCTATTGCAAGTTAGCCCCTATCACCTTTGTGAGTTTGCCCCTAAAGTAAAACAAGTTCACCCTCACCTTTACCACTTTTGCTCCCAAATGTTTTAACTTGTTTACTTATAGCAGAACATATTCCTCTTTAGGGCAAAATTATCAATTATCTGAACAATTATCCATAAACAGCAATAATCATACCTCTCTGAGTTGTCTCTTCTCCTCTTTCATCTCAAGTTTCCTTTGTTTTTTTGCTCCAATTTTTCCCACAGGCATCTGATTATCAAGCCCCATGGAGTAACTTTCTGTCCCTATTACAAGATATAAATGAAAATTTGAAATTTTGACTAATACTCCTTGCCAAAAAAGAAATTCAATTCAATGAAATAAATTTTTATCTATCTATCATCCATCACCTTCATAATCGTCATCATCTTCATCATCATCATCATCATGCACCCTTCTGGATGTCATCAGTGAATGAGCTGTTCTTCCACGTCTCCTTGCTCCACCAACTTCCCTAACATTGTCTACTTGGTCTGGTTGTCTAGATGTACCTAACAAATAAACATATTAAAAAACTCTATCATGATATTTTCTTGGATATACTTGTTATCATGAAGCAATAAAAGTTTGTAAGCTACACAGTTCATCCTTTAACTCCTAGAAATGATGAACATATTAAACTACACTGCTCATGTTGTAGAGCACCAGATCACCTTGCAGGAGGTTAAAGATTCAAGCCCCAGACTGGACCAACACCCAGGGTCTTAAAATAACTGAGATGAATGTGTTGCCTTTGCGATGACATCCACAAAATAGTAAGACATTCTAGTCCTCTTGGATAAAGACAGTAAAATATAGTCCCCCTTCCTGCATCTTCTCTGCACTGGTTAGCAGATGGTGTTAAAGAACCCACTGAATTCTCACAAAGAGTAGAGAATGTAGCTCCTAATGTTGTAGTATGGCCTTGTCATTGTTTATACTGGCCCCCATTTTAACCAGCTTTGAGCTGAACTGGGCCAGCCTGTCTAAATGTTGCAAATAAATACATACATTGCAAATAAGTCTCCCTGTAGTATCTTTATATTAACCAGCAAATGGGTTATGAAAATACTCAAACTTATCAGGTAGAAGTTGCTATCTTGATTGAACACCAAATTCTCACTACTACTGCACAAGGAAATGTGTAGCAGTTAGAGAAGAGAATTAACAATCAGATCTTGGAAGTTAAAGGGTTAGGAGAATTAACCATCTGCATCAGTATGATCAGAATCATTATCATTATCTTTCCATATATCAATTCCATTAAAAAGGAAAAAGCAAAAATTATAGAATATTACCATTTTTTTAAAACAAAACACCACTGTTACATGTATATGAGTAACCAGGTGAACCTTGCATTATAAACCATTCATATGAGAATCGACAGCAGAGTTTTAACATTATAAGGGCAAATTATATTAAAACAAAGCCATAGTTCCAAAGGCAATGTATCGTTTCCGCCATTGTTTTCTTTATGAAGAACTGGATGCTTAATGAAGCAAGGAACAGTAAGGAAATCTTGCCCATCATAATCCAGACTGGGGTAAAATAAGGTACAATAGACTGACTCTATTACACAAGCACAAAAAATGATAATCTGCTCACAAGTTACTTTGCACTCATATCAGACAGTCGCATTTTGAGATTTTAAATATTCCGTTACTTTGATCCACTTTCCCGATCGTTTTCTGTTAGAGCGATCACGAATTCCTCCCATTTCAAACTGCTTTTCATTATCAAACGCGAATTTCCACTGAGTCCTTCAACAAATGAATAAGCTTGGTATACGTAGTCTATCTGATGCATTCAAGTTCCTAAAATTGAACATTTGGTTATGCTTGGTGCTGATTTTATCTGTAGAAGTTTTTAAAGAAGTAGTAAAAAACCCACCTTTCTTATTTTTCTTCTTGTTTCTGTTCGCCACAAAAGTAGCTATGAGTAAAATTATCCCCACAACAGCCGCTATTATCAGCCAAATTACTGCCGCGTTAACCACCGCCATCTTGATCTTATTTCCTATTGTCGGAGAAACACTGGGCCCCAGGTTTAACCAAGGTGCTGGTACCCGCGGGACTACGGGACAAGGAAAGACTTCAGAGCGGGAGGGTAATTCAGTATCTTCTAAGAGATCCTCAGACTGTCTGTTTCCTCAGCACCCCCTCTCACTCCCCCCTCCACCCAACTCCCGCGCGCATTCTGGGCGATGATCGATGATCTGAGAGAAAGTGGAAGGTCTGTGGACGGTGGATTATAATAGGGTACAACCTCGTTCCTGGGGTTTCTCTTCCATCCCTAGAGAGAGTAATGAAGAGAGGACATGGGAAAGAGGTGGAATGAGGCTGTTAGTTTGACTTTTGTTCTTTATTTTCAGAGCGGGGGAAGAGAGGTAAGAACTAGTTAGGAATTTCTACGAACATCTCGTTTCGGGAGTTTCTGCAAAATCCCTAAAAAAATGTAACTTCTGACGTTTGAGGACATGAGACCGAATTAGTCAGATACTAAAATTGTGATGACACGTTAAAGAGATTTGCGTGGCATAATGGAAGTTTCGGATTCAGTTTAAGCGTTTCGCGGGAAAATTAAGCTATTTAAGGTTGGTCCGGTCTTAAGTTTGACCACCTTCTTCTTTTGTATTTGTTGTAATTTTCGTTTTCCAATCCACTGCGAAATATCATTACAACCTTTTTTTTTTTTTTTTCATATCTGGCATCGCACAGCTTCCTTTGGTAGAACCCCCAGTTTTAGGGTGCACATGTTAAGACTGTCTCAGGATGCATGTATTAGGAGACTGACTTACTCATCCTAAATAACCTTTTCACATGAAAGGTCTCGTGTAAGCCTGGTCAGAATCCATTATTATTGTCACATAACATGTTCTCTCCAGACACAAACTTTGTAAGGAAATAATTCATTTCGAAAAATTAATATAAACATGTGTTAATACTAAACTAAAATATCTAAATATTGCGGTTACAAATATATCTACATGGATCCCTTAACTGTTAAAATATCATATTTTATCGATATAACCAACAAAGCGTTCATTAATGTCTTTTTACATATCGACTTTCGTTATGAAAATATAAAATGCAGCCAGAATAAGGGAATACAACGTGATTGAGAATTATTTTTTTCTCTAAAAAATCAGAGTTTCGTCAATTTTGAAGTCTGCATACTTATTTGCTTTTCGTATCTGCCCGAGGAAGTTATCTGTAATAAAAAAACTAAAATAAATACAGAATTTGAGTTTCATGCCTTGAAAACATTAGAAACTGTCGCAAAACTGTGTATATTTTTTTATGGTGAACATAAATAATAATTGTTCACCGTCAAAATGATTGGCATTTTCAATGCGATATACTAATATTAAAGATTGAAAAATTTCATTGCCCTTTTATATCAAAAGCGAAACCATCAAAAATATTTAAGACTTAAAAAAAATGTACATTTACTTTTAAAATGGCTAGCTTCACCTTAGATATAACAGTAAGACTCGGGTTACTATTTAAACAGGTGTATTCTCGTTCGAAAAAAGCGGGAAAAGTCCCGTACAATAATCCACGTTTGAAGTTGGATAATTTGACTGGCTGAGAAAAAAACAACCTCAAATTGCTTAGAGCAACGATGAACGAGTGTAATAGCCTGCAATTGCAAAATTTGGGCAACATGCTCGTTACACGCTACTGTGTCCTTTACTTATTTAGTGCTTCACAATCGATTAGTAGGCTATACTTCAGAACCTCAATTTTCTTTAACAATTTAGCTCTAAAATATACTTCTCTTTTTAAAGTACTCAACCTGAAATCTTACTCAGGTATTCAGGTACTTAATTCATTTTCTTGCCTAGTGCTTATTAACTCGTATTACTATTGTCATCACGTTGAATTCAAGCAAAAACACGCTTTCTTCAAACGTATTTGTGTGATTAATTTCACATTTTATCCAGAAAGCAAAACAAGGCAGAGTATAAGTCAACATGAAACTAACCACTTAAAACTAGACTTTTCTAATGAGAACTAATTAATTCCCTCATGAGGCAAAAATCTAAAATATTGCACTTTTCGTTCTTCTTAAAATTATCAGAGAATTATCAATAACAAGTTACATCTCCAAAATGAACAATCAACTTTAACAATGGCAAATGAAAACCAAAAAGACATATCTAAACGAAGGTTCAGAATAGATTGGCTCCGATTCATTTTCCAACAATTGGCTCCGATTCATTTCTAACAATTGGCTCCGATTCATTTTCCAACAATCTGATAAAAGAGGCTGGAAACCATCAGCAATCCAAAGCCGATTCCATCATAATTTAAGACTATTTCAATAACGGTGCAAAATAAGTTTCGTTGATAGTTTAAGTTCATAACTATCCAAACACTTGCCATCCAAAGAGCTGTACTTTCCATGGAAGCTGTTCAGCCAGAAAATTGCAAGGACAGAAGAAACAATTGGAGTACGTCTCTGATTCAAATTATTTGACTGGACAAGCAGCAGTAAGAGACGTGGACCCTCCTGACCTGAGATCAACATGATGCTGACTGTAGTAGTCGACTAATTCCACTATGGTATCAAATTGCTGCAGGAAGTAACAACAATGTATCAACAGATCAGAGGATCAATATGGAGTATATACACGTCTTATCAATCAATCAATCAATCCATCAATCAATCAATAAAAACGGGCAATCTTCGATTGAGTCTCAAAGATAATCCTTAATTGTTTGGTTTTGCTTTACTTCGTTATGTGGTTGGTCCAGAAAAGTCACGCCACTTTCAGAACCAATCAGATTCAAAACGGAAACCAATCGCGACTTGGTCGCTTGCGCTTTCCCGCGTTGGAGTTCTAATTGGCTAACAAAGGTGTCAACCTTCGCTCCGACTCGATCAATAAATCGCTCAATGAAAACTGCTGTAAAGAAAGAGTAAATCGTCCATTCAATGTGCTTCATAGAGGCGAGATAGTCCCTATATCTTTCTGTCTGTCTGCCCACCAATCCGTCCGCGTTAGTCAATAAGGAGACTAGTACCTAACTCAGTCGGTCGATCAATTGGCCGGTCAGTTGATTACTTCGTCAGTCAGGCAGAAGATAGCCTCTTCGGTGCGTTAGCTCTGTCACCTATGGTCATTTACTTGCTAAAAGAGTCAGTTATCATTCAGCCGGTGAGCCATGCTGTTCAGCAAGTAGATCGCTTTGTTCGTTGGGTGGTCGGCTGGTCATTTGGTCGGTCAGTCATTCAGTCAGATCAATAAGCCAGTCAGACCAGTCAGTCAGCCAGTCAGTCAGTCAGTCAGCCAGTCAGTCAGTCAGTCAGTCAGCCATTCAAACAGCCAGTCAGTTAGTCAATCAGTCAGCCATTCGACCAGCCAGTCAGTCAGTCGGTCGTTCTACCGGCCAGTCAGTCAGTCAATCAGCCAGTTGGACAGTCATCAGTTAACTTTCAATTAGTGCGTCAATCAGTCACCCAAGTGGTTAGTTAATATTCAATAAAGGGGGTAAGTTTTAAGGTTTTAAGCTGCGTTGGTGGAGAGTATAACAAGGAAATTTGGTTTTATCAACTGAGTTGATAACGTACATTGGCCACCATTAAGAGTTTGAAAGCTGACGTTTCGAGCGTTAGCCCTTCGTCAGAACGAATGGAGGAATTGTGGGTTGTGTGTGCGTTTAAATGCAGAGAATACAGCGAAGCTATTGGCGGGAATATGGTGTTATCCACTCAGCTGATGATACCAAATACCCAGTTAATACTCAGTCAGTTCAGTGGTACGTGAGCCAATCAATTGTCGGTCCATTGTCTGCAACTCAATTATTGTTAATTTTCCTTCCTGTTCGTGACCCATTTAGTGCTCCCTTACCACTTTTCCACTGTCTCCAAGAACATATTTCTTATTTTGAAGCCGAGGTATTCTAGCAAAAGATGAAAAAACGAACAGCATAAGTTTGGTATTAGAATTTCGATAAGAAAACTGTATCACTCTGGTTCTAAGTCATTCACGGGAAAATTTGAATACACTAGCAACGACTGTGAAGAGCTAGTTCCTTTGTCTCTATTAATTTTCCTGCATTCTGTAGCTGAAACAAATCTGCCTGTTCCTTATCATGCCAACACATAAGAGTGCTGGTACTACTGCATATGTGCTCACTCACCTCAGGTGCCGTACACTTCTGTTGAAATACAACGACATTGAATAGCTATTAAGATCTTTTGAGCTGTTGCGCACAATAAATGCTCCTTCCTGTGGAGAAAAACAGATGTCAAGCCTTAGGGACGACAGCGATTGTTTGTAAAATGATCAGAAAGGATAGACAAATGATTGCTTACGTGTTGTGGTTGATTGACTTAGTAACTGTGTTAGTGAGTGAGTGAGTGACTATCTGACTGCCCAACTGAATGACTAAATGATTTACTGCCGCAGTCAACAAAGGCAAAAAATGGAAATGAGGAAAGCTTAGAAGAAAGGAATAAAAAGCTGAAAAGCAGACCTTAGAAAATGAGTTCAAGGCGTTTTCGGCTACTTTTTTGTCCAACGGGCCAAGGAACCAGGGATATTGCTTCAGCGGATCAGCAGACTGAAAAAAAAACAAAGAGCAAAATGGGTATAACTGAAAACTTACAAAGTATTTGAAAAGAAAAGGACACCTGTGGATGAGCTAATTAACTCATTTAGTTTACCTTCTGGTCTGGCAGTGGAGGAAGAGCCTGAGATTTCCTTTGGGAATCTAAATCACTGCAAAAATAACATAAGAAATGCAGAATAAAAATAACACATAACCAACAACTATTCAATCACTTTCAAAATAGGAGTAGTGGACTGCTTACCCTGCTTAAAAAAAAAAACAAACAGAGAGAGAGATAATCAAACTATTCATAATTTACTAAAATGAAAGGGCCAATTTAATCAGAACATGACGGCTGAAAATTACGTAGCTACAAATACATCCTTAAAGATGCTACTCATGACTATAAACTAATTCCACACAAAAAATTCTTTCTTATATAACTGGAGGGTGAAAAAGTGAGAACACGAAAGGTCAGATAATGTAATCTTTAAGGAAAAGCAGTTAGACGAGGAACATTTAGTAGGACTGTTGTTGGCAGCGGTGGCTACGATTTTGACGCACTTGGCGGACGTGATCATCAGAGTCAAGTGATAAGTTGAGTGTTCTGAGTCTGGTTTGAGGGGGCTTTTGCTATGATGTTTTGTTTGTAAGACTCAAGTTGCACAGTCAAGTTGCCTTCAATCCCTCAGTAAAGTTAGCTTGTTCTGGTCTGTTAATTCGTTTTGTGAATGTCTTGCGCAAGTCATCTGTGTGACACCCATCAATGTTGACATCAGTTCAGGAGATCGATCAAAGGAACCAGAAAAGGAACCGTCTTAGAGTAAGATTTAGAAAGGAAATTAGGCGTTTTGTAAGACTTAAAATTTGATGATTTCATATCTACCCTGCCATTTAACTCGAATCCACAACAGCCTTACATTAGGGTTCATATTCTCCATAATGCCTTCTATAAATTTCCTAGGGCACTGACGGGGAAATTTGTTTAACAATCAAGAGCTTCCTGAGATGGTGGTCATTTTCTATATTCCCACCACCTCAATGTTACATTCAGGGGTGATCCTGCAAGGAGGAATTAGATGCTGCTCAATCTTAGGGGTTAAAGTATTTGTGTCCAACAAACCTCAATCTTGATGGCTTCAAAGTAGGCTGTAAATATACAAATAAACAAATTAAAGAGAAAAACGAGGAGGGGTACGAAGAAAACATCATCAAATACAAAGATGATAACACTGAACTATCACAACTGAAAAGCTACAAGTTTTTGGGTTTGACTAGAATCCACCACTATAACATTAAGCAATTATTGGATGAGGCTGAACATGATAGATATGTAAAAAATAAATAAATAAATAAATAAATGGGAAGCTAAAAAAGTGAACTCAATGATAGCTGAAGATTACACAACCAAAGTCACATCATCTTACTCTTTACTGGTTAAAAAGTAGACAAATGTCTTTCAGAGCTCCTTGGATCAAATATAGGAACTCCATACATTTAATTTCTCCTACAAGCTGAAAGACACTTCTGACTCACTTGAACTTTTTAGACTCACCTTAGCACCAGGTCTAGGAGGGGGAGGTGGTGTATCCTCCAATGGGGGAGGGGCTGGTTGGCGACTGTTTGGAGCTGGTAACCTGTTTAAGGTTTAGAAGGTGTTAATTTCTTTAGGATTAGGGGAAATTCGATTGCATGGCAATAAAGTTGGGTTTGATTTCCTCTAGGTTTCCTGATGCTAGCTTAGATCCTCCCAAGAAGGAGTTTGAGGTGGGACTAATTTACTGAAAAGCAGCTGGCAAGCAAGCTTACCATGAAGTTCACTCTAACAGTCCTTTTCATTCTAACAAATGTTTGGTGGCTAAAAACTGGCACCTGGAGTACACCAACATGAAAATTTGCTTAACATAATTGATGAAGTCTCAAATGTTTCTTTCATTTGCACACAGAGTAATGATAAATATTTGATCCAGGTCACTTAAATGAAGAACAAATTTAAGGTTCTTTGAAATCAGTAATGAGTTAAATTCCAAATTCAAATATGACATTAATTTGCAAGAAGAAAACTTTGTAACCCAACCCAAGGGGCTTTTAAGATTTTAAGACTGCATTTAAAGATCCAAAAATGAATGGTCGTGGAAGTGTCATACACTGGTGATTCCCTTGGTCTGGAGGTGTATACACACCTGTCTTCATAGTGTGAACCAAGCTGGATTACATTCAGCATTACTACTTGTATTTAAAAAAAAAATTTTGATTTCTAGTCTTTGTTTGAGTTGGGCACTAACCTTGACGATGGCTTTGCTTGAGGGATTTCGTTGTTGTTTTTCTCAGGTTCTTGTGATGGAGTAGCCATGGGGGGTCGTGAACCTGGCAAAGGTAACCCAAAGAGTCTTTTTGGTGGTGAATCAGGAGGAGCTTATGAAAACAAACAAAAATTTATAATCATGGTTTTTTGACTGTATTAATTGAATACATACACTATAATCAGTAAAAAACACAGTATTTGAGCCTCAATGTTCAACTGTCATTACCTAAACATGGGGTAGCAAAGGGTTTTCCTATAGTGTGGTTAAGCCCAAAATTAATATGCAACATTTGAATTTTACAGAAAGGCAAGGTGAGGTGAGATTTGATGTTTTCCCTTTTAAATTTGTGACCCATGAAATATTGTTACAAGTACATGTTTGCTATCCTCTTAACAATGTTCTTAAAACACCACAAAATTCACAGTCATTTTGTTTAAGTGTATGAAAATGAATTTCAAATTTCAAAATTATTTCAACCCAGTTTGAACTATCTTCCTTTTTTAAAACACATTTATTTACTATAATCCTCAAACAAATAGAAATAAATTTCAAAATAAAATTCAATTTTGATTCGTACATATAGTTCATGTCTAATCTTTTACAACATTATATTCTAACCTGTGTTATCTTTTGGCGCTGGATACAGACGCGATGATCTTTTGGGAGTACCTCTAACAGGACCAGGAGCATTTGGCTTTTGGTTGACCTGGGGCTTAGATGCTAATGAAGGTTTAATTCCTGACAAACAAGAAAGGTAGAGGAACCACCTTGTAAATAATTGTGCATCTGGAGAAAACATCAGTCATGAGATTTTTCTGGCATGGATATACAAAGCATCATAGAATTGCCAATCAAATTCAGACATCTGGCGAATGTTTGTATCCACCAGATAAGGGCAACTTTGAGTTCAGAACTTGTCATAAACAAAGTTTGGACAATGGCCTTTTAAGCAATTACGAAAAAAATCCCTTTCAATTAACTGTTGTTCAAGTTTGACTGGTTTAAAACAGAAAAGTACAACAAAACAGAAAAGAGAGAAAGCTGAGCAAAAATGGTCATTCTTGCCAGACCAACTCAATTTTGACTTATTTTGGAACCTTTCTACAAAACCTTGGAATAATGTCCACATGTGTAACTGTTTTCCGTTGTATCACTAGACAAAGGATGTCCACTGCACTATTAATTGGATTATATAATATAAAAAAGATAAAAATTTATAGAAAGTTTTAAACAAGAGGAATAGATTTAAAATTAAAAGTAGTACCTGGTTTTGGTTTTGGTAAATCTTTAGGGACTATTGGTTTTGTTTTCTCAGCTGGTGTACCCATCTTTGTAGGCTTTAAACCAAATCCTCCTAGTGATGGTCTTGGAGGGGGCTGTGATGGTGCTACACAAACAGATTTACAATTTGCTTACAATGAGTTTAGAAAAAATGAAAGGAATTTAAATTAACTGAAAAAATAGTAACCACAAATTAAATCTCTTTTCACATGGTCTGATCCTAGTCAGCAAACCACAGACTGTAGTGAAATGAGGCCTCTCAATTTTAACTTTCAAATAAATGTTAATAATAGTAACAATTATTATTAATAATAATAATTGTAATGTTATTATAATTATAATAACTCTCATATTCTTCCACATGCAGGTCACCAGTTTAGATCATGACATCAATGCAACATGTTGTCTAAGGCTATGAAAAATGGAGCACAAGCATTTTGAACTCACTGTAAGGGTTTGAATTGATAATCCAGAAGCCAAGAACTGAAATTTGTATTACCAAGAATAATCCAACTTTGAAAATACAGAACATTCCACCAACTGTTTCTCAATTCTAATCATATGTTATGATCTGCAATTGTTTCAACACCAATCAAAACTTGTATGTACTACTCAATTTATCATTTCATTATACCTGACTCCTCTGGCACTTCGTACGTCTCTTGGTCTTCTTGTTCAGGTACTTCATAGGTTTCACCATCTCCTTCATACTGCGATGGTTTTGAAGACTGTTGGCTTCCATCCATGTCATCGGGGACCTCATATGTTTCCTGTTCCACAACTTGCGTTCTCCCAAGTTCATCATCCTCTGGCACCTCATCATATATTTCCTGGATTATTCAAATTTAAAATTTGACAGTTAATTTTCATTGCATTATATATCTGATGCAAACCCAAATAAAATGTTTGTCTAAGGGCAGTACTAGGTATTGAATTGAAAAGTTGTTGTTTCTTGTCAGAACTGACATGGGATCTTGTCACAAACACAGGACAACAAAAAGTCTGAGTCCTTTATCAAGATGTAAACCTCAGACCTTGCCACATTGCTTTCAAATTTCTCTGCCATTGAGCTGTAGTAAATTTTTTTGTGAGCCTGGCCATAAATTCTAACTTCTCATGTAACAAGTTTCCCACAACTCCATACAGCTAGGATCAGCAGTGTCAAAAACATCCTGACAATATTACCATTAACTAATAATAATGATGGTCTTTATTTCACAGATAAAATAAATATCAAGTGTTACACAACAAGTATCACAAAATCCCTAATGCCCAAAAGAAAAGGTACAAACATCGATGTACATTAATTACTAACAGCTAAAAATTGCAATAAAAACTATAGACTGAAGCATATTTATTTAATAAAAGAGTTTTTGAAATGCTCTGTATTACAAATTGGAAATGAAGGCTCAAAGAGTAGTCAGTTAAGACTAACAAAATCACACACTAGAGACAATATTTGACATCTTTCTTTATCTGAAAACCAAACTTGAAACTAACCATCTCTCTTGATAATCATGTTTAGATGAGAAATTTTTGGGTAGTACGGTGCTCTTGGATCTCTAAAAACCCCCTGTAGTCCTATATACTCCACAGAATTAAGAGGCATTTTGTGAATACCTCAGTACTTTCAAACTCTATTAATATTGTTTGGAAGAGTACAAAAATCTTCCGCAGAATGATGAACAGTATGGACAGTTGTCTTCTTGGGGAGGTAATTCCTTCAAATCCTTTATCAGTTTTCTTGCAAATTATCTGTCTGTGATTTCCAAGCAATATTATGAACCTGATTATTGTAGTGCTGTGGATAGTTTTAATTCATTATGGTAATAGTCCATTTGCAATACATTTAGGTGCACTAAACTGGTTCAAAATTTCAGATTAGAACTGAGGCTTGGGTGAATAGAAATTGAATGTACAGATGCAGAGAAGAATTTATCACTCATGTAGCTCTAAACCAAACACATTACAAAAGCTGCATGTTGTAGAATTTGAGGAAAATTGAGAAAAAAATGAGAGAAATACTCATAAGAAGAGTTTCCTTTGATTAAGAGACTATTTATTTAAAAGTTTCACAAAAAAAGTCCAGTGCACAAAACTATCCAATACAACCAAAATTCTATCTTACCGGCTCTGGTTGTATCACTGGTGCTGGCTTTTTAGCCTTTAAAAATCCAGGTTTTGGAGGTCGGGCAGGGGCAGGAGGAGGACATTGAACTGAAGGAAAATAAAACCAAACAAACCAGGATTAGTCTACTGGTAAACCTGACTTATACACAAGATTCAGTGACTGCATGGAGTTGTATATGATTGTAACTTACAAAATTAGACTAAGTGACTAAATGCCTTCCTTTTGGACCAGATGTCAATCTTATTAAATTAAAATCAAATAATATAAATTTTTTGGACCTGACATCTTTTGGTTTCATGAGATTTCACAGCAGCATTGGTTTTGGAGCCCCTTATAATATTGTAACTTAAAAATTAAAGATGTTTAATATATAAGTGACTGACAGTACTCCTTTCAATTTCCTAATTGCTTGAAAGACCTGTATATTCAGAAGAGGCATTCCTTATCCGTAGCTGCAGACTTTTCATGGAAGGAAAAGAACTGAGAAAATGAACTGGACCTTAATTTAAAAGGCATGATTTACAGAAAAAAAATTCTATAATAATTAATAATTATATTTTAATTTAAAGTTGTAATGAATTCACTTCCAAACAATTATATTACCTGGCTCTTCTGGAATAACTGATGTAGACTGATAAAATAAGAATGGAAGTCATATTAGTGAGACAGTTGAGTAACTCATTGCTTTTAAAAACACCATTTATAATTCCACCCATCAAATATAATCCTAATTATTGCACAATTGAAGAAATGCTCCAACTGGCAAGTTCATCATTTAACTCATACTGTTAAGTCTTTACATCCTAACATCAGCATCCATATTCTCAATACTGTTCTCATACATTTTCTGTGCTGATGAAAAGAGAATTCTTTTAATAAATCAAAAGCTTCTAATTCAATTGATGATCATTTCCTTTATTCTCATGACCTTAGTGTGTGTGATGCAGTGAAGATATCACCAGGAGAAATTAGATACTAGTCAATCTTAAGGGCCAAGCATTAAATGAGGGTCTGAAATATATCATATTTAACTCTATCACTAACATGAGTGACCAAAAAGTAACCTCTCCTCACAATTTTGAAATCTCATCAGGCAGAAAGGTGACACAAAGAGAAATCAAAATATCAACTACAGCAGCTACAGCACAATGATTAATTCATAAATTCTAAGAGCTAGTAGTAAAGGAAATGTTTGACAGACTGTAGGCAGAATTTATACATGTATCAAATTATTGGGAATGGATTAAAGTTTCTAAATATGGTTTTTTAGATTTGTTTTTCCAAATTCAAAATAAAATCACCTCTGTGGCTGAAACAACATCTAGCTAGTGCAGCCCTTCAGATTACCAAATAGAGGTGAGTCATTTACCAAATTTGGCTGCTAATAAATCTATTTACATTTTTCTTAACAAATAGCATATTGGAGCAGAATCCATCTTTCATGATCAATGATTTGGAGTTATCTGAAATTAGAACAATATCTTGTATTGATTCTTACCCTTGCATCAATATATCCCTCACTTGAATCACATCTTATTATTTTCTTGTGACACTGGGGACGTACTACAATTCCTAAATTCAAAAACAAATTAAAGTAAGATCACTTTAATTAAGCAACCCTTCAAAATTATACAAGATTGCTTAACATTGGATTTCTCTTTTACCAATAATTGTTTTTCTATCTCATTACAAAAAGAATCTTTCATTGCTCCTAGACCCCAAAGAGAAGAAATTTTTCACACATAATTTATTTCATGTAATCCTTTATATTAAGTTCACTTGGTGATCTACCAACTCTATTTCACTAGGAAAGAAAAAGACAACAACATTCTGATCAAAGGAAATATTTTGTTTTACAGTAACTTTTACTGTATCTAAAGTTCATTACTCAAAGGTCTCTGAATTCTAGTTGATCTATTTTCCTGTAAATGTTCATATTTAAACAATTATCATCAATACCTAAACTCAATATCCAGGCTCAATAAGTAACCAACAAAACTACTTCAAAATTAAGTATCTTAACCTGATCCTGAATCATCACTTGGTTCCTCATAAACTTCTGCAAAGAAAACAAAACATTTAAACATTATGGTCAAAATCAAAGTATCACGTAAATATAACATATAGGTTACATGACTGGGCCCTTTTCAGAATTTTTTCACATTGGATGAAGGTCGAAGGCTTCTTATACATCTCAATGGCTTATAAAAATTACAAGGAAATTTTCAATAAACTTGACAGGCTCTTGTAAGCATAACATACCTTCTGGAGGTTCATCATATATTTGATCATCGTCATCATCATATGGCATTGGTGTTGTCTGTTGACATAAATAATGACAATAATTATGAAGTTAAGATTGTTTCCTCACAAACTTCAAAAGCTATATATTTTAGTAACATTTGTTTGGTCAGCTTCACCTGAAATCAACCAGTAACACAATCACATATGCAGTAGTATTGGCAGAAAATGATATTCTTCCTAAAGATACATTTAGTGTACAGAGACCTTAAAATGGCAATAAGTTTAACATTTTTTCTCACCATGCCTGAACAAATTTTTCTTTAATATTAACAGGGAACAAGGAATCTAGTATCCTCAAATGCAAAGTAATTGGAATGATAATTTTCACTTCAAAAATTTCCTCCCACAGTCAAGATTGATTCTTCATTTTGTGTGCAAAGTATTGGTCAAACGTTCTTAAATGACCAATATCATCCCCACACTATCTGTATCATCCAACTATTTCCAAAAATGAAACTGGTTCACCAATCAGAATTTACTTCCTTAAGCGAGGGAAAAATTCCACAAACACCTCAAAATATCAAAGCTAAGATTTGCTTAAAAGTTAGACAATTTTAAAATAAACTGTAGACTGAGGTTCTAAAGAGTCATTGGTAAAGTATAGTTAATAGTTTTTCACCATGTATCATTCCAGTTGATTCATGTGTAAGCTTTTATTATAAGTTACTTATTATATTTCAAACTGATTTTTTTGTACAGCTATCAAGGGGAACAATTTCAGAAAATCAGTAAACAATAAAGTAGTCATGTCTGACAAGGTCAGTTAATTCTAAATAATAATTATTAAAGTGGTAGGATTAAAAGAAAGCACTTTGTCTCACAGAAAACAGCAAGAATCGGAAGTTTGCTGTCTGTGTTACTGACAATTGGATGGGAAATATTTTTTATGCCTTTGACCTGTTATGCAAGATCATGGGTTGAACCTGTTGTTTACATTATCTTGCAGTTCACTGTAAGTTCTAGATACATGTAAGGTATGCCTGACAAGCTGACTAATCACCAGGTATTAGGCTTCCTTGTTGTCTATAAAATACAATTCTGTAAAGGCTTTGAAGTTAAGAATAACAGATAACAGTTGGTCATGTAGTCTTGTTGTTTTAAGGCAAGAGTAGTCTGTAAGAGGGCTGTTGCTAGTCAAAGTAACTGAAATTTTGCCACTGTACTGTAATCATGATAATGATTCTGACAATGAATTCCATTGTAAGTTATAGAAATGTCAGTGACCACTACCAACAACAGTCTAAGGACTTAACTATCACCCAGACAACTTGATGAGACTATATTGACCAATTAATCCAAGGAAAAACACATTTAAACAAATTGATAACAAAGGTTAACTATTATAATTTCCATTATGTATAACAAAAAAACCTTAGATTGTCATTTTTACAAAATTCTCAATGATTGATTGTCAGCTTGCACACCATCTGACCTTAGTGCGATGACTTTCTGAAGGAACTGTACATGGCGCTCTTCCAACAGTTCCATTTAAGCCAGCCTTCAGCTGTGCAACCTATTGTGTAGCAGAAAAGTAAAACTTCTCAATGCCAAAAAGGAATTCAGAACGGAGAATGGCAACCAATCCCCTCAAAAAAAAAGGATTATAAATCACTACTTCCAGCCATTAACATTTGTTAACTTAGTTATCATTAATGAGTTTGCATTTTCTTACCAGACCAAATGGAACTTTGGGGACTTCCTTGGATGGGGACTCTGAAGGAGAAACAGAAATCAGGATTTCTTTAATTTATTATTACAAACTTATCACTTATAATAATCAAGCATCTAATAATTTTCTGAGCTACTGAGTATGTGTACTACTGAGCACGTGTACTACTGAGTATGTGTACTACTGAGTATGTGTACTACTGAGTACGTGTACTACTGAATATGTGTACTACTGAGTACGTGTACTACTGAGTACATGTACTACTGAGCATGTGTACTACTGAGTACATGTACTTCTGAGTACATGTACTACTGAGTACATGTACTACTGAGTACATGTACTACTGAGTACGTGTACTACTGAGCATGTGTACTACTAAGTACATGTTCTACTGAGTACATGTACTACTGAGCATGTGTACTACTGAGCATGTGTACTACTGAGCATGTGTACTACTGAGTACATGTACTACTGAGTATGTGTACTACTGAGCATGTGTACTACTGAGTATGTGTACTACTGAATACATGTACTACTGAGCATGTGTACTACTGAGCACGTGTACTACTGAGCACGTGTACTACTGAGCACGTGTACTACTGAGCATAAAAATTTACTGTTGATTAATTCACCTGGAGAGGGAATTAAGCTTTCATTCTCTTCAGCTTCAATGTACTCTCCTCCCGATTCATCATCACTTTCCTCCTGAAAGAAAACAAATTAAATGACCAGTAGTTCAGTTCAAATCATACTCAATTCATTGACAATATCACTTGTCTGATAATCTTCAGCAAATTACCATCACCACTGACAGAAATTTGTGCATTACAAGGATAGTAAAATGAAGTGTAGGGACTTATAGGTGTGTTGGGGAAAGGCCTGCAAATAGCAAGACAAACGTGAAGGATCAACAAGTAACATCATCCTTACAATTTTCAATGCATTATTTCCTAACAAACAGTACACTGGAATCTACAATGAAAAGTACTAGCAAAATTTCTCATCTCAAGAGATGCAATACCAAATAACTACATTCAAAGAGCTTTTTGATTGATCAAGTGCCTCCAAAACCAACACCAGCAAAAGTGATCACATGCAACAGCCAATAAGAATATGGGAAAATATCACACAGAACCAATAAGAACACATCATAAAAAACCAACAAACTGCCTGAAGCATGCACAGGATAACACAGTCAAGTAACCATAAATCAATTGGATTTAAATTTGAGTTTAACTGGTTATGAAGTGGTAGAAGCAATCCTGGCTCAGTTTTAACACTCAATGGAAATCAGAACACAGGAAAGAGTATGATGAGTTGGGTCTCAATAGTTTAAGTGTTAATGACAGCAAGTTGTTCTATACCTCTTCAAATTCATCAGGGTCATCGTCAAAGTCATCAGTTGCCCAGCCATCATCACTTTCTGCTTCATTGGTGAAAACAATAATTAACAGTTATTTCATCATAATCAAGAGTCAGATGGATAGTTGACAACTATTCACTGAAATGAAGGTGACTGCAAAGCAGTGAGGTAAACATATTTGCTAGCTACCAACACAGAGGTGAATGGTTTTTTTTATTAGTAATACTGAAACAGTGAGATAATATAGCACCAAAAAATGATTTCGACTCAGTTTTTCCCATAACAGTAACACTATTCCCTGGTGAAAGTTGCTTAGGGGTGACGAGCAAAAGAACACTCAGAGTTTGAGTAGCAACCAATCAGAATGCACCTTCGACTTCATCCACTTTTTAGTGTATACTTAGAAGTATCACTTAGTAACACAGAATATATTTATTTTTAACAGGGTTAGCTTTATGTATAGTTTACAGATACCAATATTTGCCCTTCCTTTCAACTGTCAGAGTAGAAGCACACATTTCTTTTATCAGTCATGCTTAAAACGAGGGAGAACACTAAAACTGTTTTAAAACCCTTATAATAATGAAAAATAAACTTCTCTATGACAATTACCTTCTTCATCAAGTACATTAGCTGGTAATGCAGGTGGCTTTCTTCTCTCTTTTAATCCCGAGGAATCTCCGTCAAACCTACCAAAAAAAAAATCTTTAATTATTGTTCACTGTTGTTAGAGAGATGCTGTGGTTTAGTGGTAGCTAAGCTTGCAACTGAACCAGCAGCAAAAATGTTGAGATCCTCCTTCCAAAAACACACCACCTCTTACTTAAGTCTGCATATACGCATTTTAAAAGCAACTCTCCAAAACAAATTTAAAAATGGCAGACTGAAATACAAAAGAAAAATCAACATATTGTTGAATTTTGACTCCTTTGCTCTTTACATGAAGCAATGAAAATGACACTTGGGGCATCTAAACCCTTTAGCTCCCAAGATCTCATCAGTAATTCTCCTCACTGTCTGCCATACAGTTCTTGTAATGTTAGTTTGGAGAATTTGGGTCTGGATCAACTTATAATCGCCTAAGTGGTATTTTTCTTTATTCTCATCACTTGTCTGCTTGATTTTGTATTGATGTTGTAAGGAGAAATTCTGTCTTGGTCACTCATGGGAGTTAAAGGGTTAAGTATAACCACCTTTTACGGGCACTTTGTCTCTTTCCCTTGATTCTTTTCAGCACTTTTGCCAGTTTTCTGTAACAAAATAATTAATACTGCATTAATAACTCAATCATAAACCACCAAACAACAAATAATGATAACAAAGGTGGAATGAATTACCTTTTGCTTTCTTGTGAGATGCGCAGAGACTTGATATCATTATCTGATAAATTCTGAAAGTTTAAGGTTAGTAACAAAATCAATGTCCACAACTTACATAAATTTACATAAGACACTTTTAGCATGAGCTTGAAATATACATTGTACAATAGAACCCTGGAGTGCTACCTTAAACTCGGTGAACTTGAAAAAAAAAATGCAATTTCCCCTGGAATTGACCCCATGTTTTCTGCCATTTGCTACCAGCTGACTCAAACTCCATTAATTTGAATCATTCATTGACTCAAACTAATTTTACTTTCCTTTGTCTCAAATTTCTCCTATAAAGGCTCAAGTGTCTGAACATAGCTGATTGACAAATTACGATGGTTAACCCCAATTGATACAAACATGCCAACAGTTATGAAAGCTTGTTACATTCAGCTAAACTTCCTAAACTACACTTTCCTATCAATAAGCTCTTATGAAACTAACTAATGTAAAAAAAATTGACAGCGATTGTGCAAGAATGGTAAAAACCTGATTTCTTGAAAACCAATCCCGATAACTAGAACTCCCACTGACTGGAACCATTCTTCATTTCCCTTCAAAACCTAAGCTACCATGGCTTTGCAGCATGTTACAAGTTACCCTCTTTTCCTATAGCACATTTTACGATTTGTAATTATGGGTTTCATTTATTTGTTATCTTTCCTTATATATTATTTTTACAGGTTTGTTAGTCAAGAAGCAGGAAAATCAACCCTACCATAAATTGTATTCCATTTATCTTTTTGAAAGAGAAAGGCTGAACACAGTCATGAAGATTCTCCTGTGAGGATAGTAAGTAAAAGATATAAGTATACCAGTTGTAATGTTTACTAAGTATGATTCATTCCATAATCCAAGAAACATAATTATTATTTTTCTGGTCCATAAAATAACAAGGTGAGTAAACCATTGTCAGCATGTCCCAAGAAATATCCCTTCACAAACTGCTCTAACAGATGTGGTAGGGTAATTTGGGAATTGTCAAGTTTGATAGAAGTAAAAAGTCATCGAAATATTACAGTCCAGTGCATTTACAACTGCAGTTACATGTATTGTCAAATAGCCTGCAAGGAATTATGTTCTAACAAAAAGAAACCTGATAGCAATTATTTACAAGAAGGTTGTCACGGTAAGTTGATAATTCATTAAAATTTTTAAGAGCGCTTTTAATCTCAAAGGTGGAAAAGAATTAACTTAATTAATCTCCTCTGACAAAATTTTCCAATTATGGTGACAAGAATAATTAGAATAATAATCATTATACATGACTTGTACAATATCGTTATTGTGAAACAGCTCTATCTTAAGGATTCCAACCGTCTCACACATTCACAGTTTCTCTACATGTAAAATGCGTTATTCCACCATATGATCACAATCACTTGTAAGTCATCTTTGGTCAAATGAATTCCATGCTTACATCACACAAAGAATGCTACAACAGAATCTTTAATGTCAACAAAACATGTTGATGACCATTGAAAATATTATTTTTACAATCATTTAAGTCATTAAAAGCATATAAGACAAAGGTTTCAAGAAAGGCCAGTAGTAACGTAATTAAAATATATAAAATAATTTTACAAGAAAGTAATTTTCAGTATTAATATCATGCCGCTTCTTAAATTCTTTAAATTAAGTATTGATTTTGCCGTGTAGTACGAAAAACTTCTGAAATTCCCACAACAGTATTTTTAGAAAATTTTGGTATATTAAACAGCGATATTCAGTGGTTATTCTAAAACTCTCAAATGTGCTGAAGCTGGTTTTTTTGGTGCATGAAAGTGAAAGATGAAATGGGTTTTGTACATAAATTTGTGTTGCAAATCAAGCACAGTCTTGATTTCCACATTGTAAATATTTGTTAGAGCCGTAACAAATATTTCAAAACGTAACATATCCTTTCGTTAATGTAGGCATTTAAAAACAAGTCGAACCAGTTGTCTACAAAAAATTCAAATCAAAGGTTCGGCTAAATGCCTTCTTTTTTTTCCTTCAGAACTAATGCTATTAAAAATATTACTAGTAAATGCCTGAAGGGCTGATAATGAGATCGGTCATCAAATAGTAAAGTTGCTACGAAAACACAGCTGTATTGCATGGCCTATTAATGTTAAAATTGAGTATTCTAACATAAACCTTGCGTGAGCTCCATCTGTGAGCAGACAAGAATCCTCAACCATGTAAAAAATATCTCCGTTGTCATCCCTTCCCGTGCCATAGTCTAAATTCAGTGTAGGTAGGCTGTCCGTAACATTCGTAATGCAGTTACGTGCTAGTATTGATCCGAGACTTCAGCTACGCGAAAAGCATTTGTGCCCTTTCGAAATGACCTGCGCTTTAATTCTATGTGTTCTGAATTACCCCTGAGGAAAAGTTAATTTAAAGTACGATGGATGTCTTATTACGTTCCGGATCTCATCTGATTTCGTAAGACACGACTCGATTTTCATTTGATTTCGTAAGATAGTTACGTACCAGGCAAGTTGAAAACCAAGTATGTGCTCTCGCACGGAACATTATTCACACAGATGTGGTTAAACGACAACTATCTTTGGAGGTCGTCAAAGCGGACCAGCAGACATTAGCGGACCATTATCCTTGGTATTCGTGCAATGAATCCGCAACACAAGCGAATGATTTCACCGTGGTTTACCCGACTGATGACTGGCTAAACGCTTTCAGCGGACTTAACCTCCAATATAGCAGCCATTTTCGATGGAAGTAATTCATTCAAAGATCGATATTGGAGACCACAATAGCTAGAACAAGCTTGTAGGCCAACATCATGCTTATAACTAGTCGTTTATGATACCAAACCGTATGCACTTGAAATTATAGGCAGGCTAAATTAATACACACCTCTCTCAGCCACATGAGCATTCGCTCCAAATCCCAGTCGTAGATGCAGGCTTCCGATAAGCTCGACATCTTTCTGTCGGCGTTTAACCATGCGAGAAGGTTATATTTCGTTCGCAACGAACTACAACAAGGCAAAGACACTTCTCACGGCTTCCGGGTGCACACTTGATCACGTGTCGAGAATTAGATCGTGACGTATAAATTATTCTATTGTTCCAGAAATTCTTTAAATTTCCGTTTCCTCTCCTAAATTCATTTTCTCTGTACGTGTTTCAGCGCGTATTTCCTCAAAAAAATTTCAAGAGAAAGTTTTCCTTTGGTTTCTTAAAGATTTCGAAAAATATTCAAGGGATGTAATTTGTGTGATTTCCTACAGAATGGACTAAATTGGATTAGGCATTTGCCCATGCAATATACTTGACTACTAACAATTTCATTTAATTTACCTCCCTTATGGTTTTTTAAAGAACACTTTTTCAGAGTATAAACTGATTGCGTTTTAAGTTATCATCACCAGTTATCTTTTATAGCCATATTTTTAAAAATGACTCACCATTCTTAAATTGTCCTGATCCTGCTCGGTCGACGTACAAGTGGGAGATGAAAAAACAAAAGTTATATTCGAGCACGTCTCAAGGTCTCGATTAATCCCGTCCCCTTTTTGCATCGACATCGCAAACGAAACACTCCACTCTAACTTAAGCGCAAAAAGGGACGATAAAAATATTGATCTCGCTGTCATTCTGGAATTGCTGTACGATAGACAGTGGCTAGGAAATGGCGTAGATAAATGTCTTTGAAAAAAAAAAGACGCTTACCACCATTCAAAATGATCGCCGCAGGGAAATGGCTCTTTAAGTGCACATTCATTTATTGCTGATTTTCATTGACGTTTCTTTTTAACGGTTATGAACAGGAAAACAAACATTCATAATTAAAAAAAAAAGTTTGACAACATTTGCAACTTTTAAAGGTCTTGTAGCGGTGTGTACAGGAGTGTACTTGGTCAAATTAATGAAGGTCGCCTAATTTCTGAGAGGAAACTATCCCATGGCAACTACTGATAGCAGAAAAATCAAACCAGAGAGTTTTGCGTGATTTCGATAAAACAATTTACGTAACCAAATAATCAATATTGAAAACGATTACATTAGTGACCCACTCGACGGTCTATTTTAGAAGACCTGTTACGTTTTTTATTAATAATTATTTTGTTTAAGCGGAAAAGTTAATTCTCAGAATATTCTTTCAGTAGAGTGCTCTTAACTCATCAGGAGTTAAATTTTGCCCGAAAAAGGACATCTCTATTTTCAAAACATATCTAGAATAGCCAATTTAGTGACCTGGCGCCGTTTAACATCAGTTAACTGTGTGTCACCTAAACAGGTCGATTAACTCAATCATCCCGATGCATGCATATTTTCGAGGTTCGTCTAAGCTTAATCGTCACAGCACTACCACAAAGCGATTTGGTCAATGATATTGTGGGGTTTTCTGATATTTTGCTGGATTTTTCGAGCTTCCTCAGACTTGTTTCACTGAAAATGGATAGAATTATACATGATCTCTTGACAGTCTTCTTAAAGTCCTTTACAACTTTACAAATTGTCCTAAATTTTACCACCTGCAAAATTAAATTCTTTCAAAGCCGGTATTCATAAAAAAAGAATACAGTTGACTGTATTACTAAATTACTTTGCCAAAGCGTATGAGAGTTTGAACGGAATACAACAGAATGCTGTCTCTGAATGAAGAAGACTATTTTCTTAGGCACCACAATCTTCGTGTTTTGACCCAGACTCCTACGATTGAGGTGATAGTTTCCATGGCAATACAGAATGTCGACACTTATTACCTGTAGCTAGGCTTTTAGGTTACTCACAATCTGAAGTAAAGATACTTTGCTCATCTTTTGCGGGAACTGATTTGAACAAGGGGTTGATTTATTGAATTAGACAAGGTAATCCCTAAGGTCAGCGGAATAAAACGAAACTTCTGGATTAATGATTAAAGGGGGTAAGTTTCTAAAGAAACTATACTGCTGCGTCGGTGGGAGAGTAACAGGTAATTTAGTGTTAACAACTGAGTTTAAAACGTAAATTTCCCACCGTAAAGAGTTTAAATGATGAAGTTTCGAGCGTTAGTCCTTCGTCAATCGCTCTGACGAAGGGCTAACGCTCGAAATGTCGGCCTTTACACTCTTTCCAGTGGCCAATAAACGTTTTCAACTCAGTTGTTGACACTAAATTACCTGTGAAACTTCTAGATTGTCCGGTAATATTCTTCATAACTGTAGTTATTTTGGAAGAAATAAATCGCCTATGCGCCTGTAGCCCATAAAAGGAAACGAAAAAACGCCCCTAGAAAATATATTGAAGCGAACCGGGCAGATACCGAAAATGAAAATTGCAACATCATAGTCTGATGTAATGCAAGCTTGGGAGTCACTGAAGTCAAAACAAATTAATACAAAAGATTTTGTATTGTCACAAAGAAATAAGACGCCAAAGCTGAAAATATCTTCTACATTCTTTGAACAGTTCCTGAGAGTCAGCAGATTCACTGAATCGAATAGTAGAGACAATCTCTCTCTACATTCATCGGCGCGAAGTGGATCGACAGACCTGTTCTCGAAGGCAGCGATGAGATCTTCCGGTAAATGTTCGGCTGGTTCCCACGTATTTTCACTAGGGGAGTAATTCTGCTAATGGATGAAATATTCTATATTTCTTCCTTTAACTCGTTTTGCAACAACACGCTCTACTTCGGAAACGTCCATTACAGTTGGCTTTACCTTCGGACGATATTTTGAATTAGAGGCACGATCGCAAACATTATTCAGTAACGTTGCGTAAAAGCCTGGTTGATGTCTCGCACGCTTCGACATGTTAACTCGAAGGTATTAATTGTCAACTGTCCTTTTCATATGTTTTTATTTATCAAAACGGATCCAAGTGTGAATAATTAACCAACTATTCCCTCAGGCGCGAAGCTGTTTCAGGTGGTCGCTTATTTGTTTGTTTTTCCCTCGATGTTTTTGTAACCCTTAGTTCTTCTTTTCTTTTCAGGAAAAAGAAAGACTAACTTCTGGAGTAAAAGTGTGCATTTCAAGTAAAAACAAATGACTTATGCATCGCACTGCTAAGTTCACGTAAAACAATTCACTTAGTCATGGGTAAATCGCTGATTGAGCACCGCTATTCTACTCCCTTGCCGCAGCCTTTCAAACTCGAAAAGAATGGCAGGTTCTAAACAACCGGGTCGACATGAAACAATTTCGATAATTCAGATGAAGTTTTGACCAACGGGAGTTTGTTAGTCGTCTATTGAGTCAAATAAAAATATAGTCGAATCTGCAAACGTTTTGTGAACAGTGCGACCGGCCTTTAATTAGTGTGCTATTGTTAATTCTATCGCACCTTGGGACTGACATCACGCACCAAACCGTTTGATTGACAGCAGCTGAAATCTGCAGTGCGACTCAATAATTCCCAAAGCTAAATTTGTTGACCAATCACAGCTGATAAGTTCTAGACATGCAAATTGATATTCCGCTCGTTGATAAACTGGGCACTGTAAGTACATGTCGCAAAAGACAATAGCATTCTGCGCGATGGAAATTTTAGCGCTACAATTAAATGACGCATAATTTGGAAGTGTTCTTAACAAATTCAAGAGCAAGTGTTTGCAATGTAGTTAGATCAATCCGACCATCAAATTTGAAGTATGGTATGTGTGTTTAACTATGTTTTAGTATGATATGAGAGTAGAAGACTGCCTAAAGGCACTTAGCTGTAATGTTGGTCAAATGCTTCAGGGAAGGAAGATTAATACCGTCACTCTCTAACGCCAACATCCTCGAAGAAATTTAGAACATCACTTTGGAGAAGGAAGATAAGAACGACACGAGTTTTACCTGATCATTTGATCATCTCATTTGGCTGAAATGTGCAAGGAAGGGGATTGTTTGGGTCTTACAATTCAGTCTTCTTGCGGTTGTAAGGTCAAACAATTTAGAAATAATCAAATCTTTAGCTATCCTCTTAGCTAAATTGCCATCAAATGTCATCGATAGAGGAGTAGTGATTTCAGTTTAAATGGGAAATAACTCAAGACAGATATCAAAGTCTATACGCGCATAAAATCAAGAATTGATTTGCCAATATATAGCTGTTCTCTTAGGCAGTGTTCTCTGGAATTTAAGAAAATGTGCATTATGCTAAAATCGGGTGCTTTATTTACCTTCGCTTTTATCGTCGTTTTCCGTGGGTAATCGTTCAAATCTTTTCCTCTTACGAGAGATCCTCCAAGAAAGAAAGCAGCAAAGTATTATTTTCCATCCACCCATTCCTATCGCTAAGATGAGAGGTTTAGGCAATAGCTTCCCTGTGGCTTTTATGGGTGTGGGGACCATTATGCGGAAATCTGGTACGAGATTTAGACAGAGATAACACACAATGGTTTGATTGTTCGCACCCCAAAGACAAATTTTCAGCCGCATTTTGATTACAAACGTTCATTGAAGTTAATCTAAAAATGCTTATTGTAATCTACATGTAGTTCAGGGAGTAGAATAGATTAAAATATAGTTGTCAGTTGTCGTCTGACAATCATATAATACAGTAATCGTTTATACTCACCAGAGCAAAAGTTTCTGAACACCTACCCAAAAGTATGTGAATATCTCTGCAAAACGCCACAGCAGAAATGAAATTGAAAACGGAAATAAGTCCCAAGCTCCTCTACCAGGTCTACGCGCCCATCTTCCTTGCGAGAGTGTGCCAAATATGCGTACAGCCTTCCGTGCAGATGATTCCACCAAAGACCGCGCTTCTGATCTTTTCTCCAGTGGCATTC